AATCCTAGATACTTGTGTGGCTGAGATCTGGAGGATGGTGGTTCAAGGCCAACCTGGGCAAATAGTTCCTGAGACCCCCCATCTCGAAAACACCCAACATGGAAAGGGCTGGCAGAGTGGCTCAAGTGGTACAGTGCCTGCCTAGCAAAGCCCTAAACCACCAAAAACCCAAAAAAGTCCTAAAGAGATACAAACTACTAAAACTGACCCAAGGGGGGAAATAACAGAAAATCTGTATAGAGCTATCATAAAGAGATTAAATTAGTAATTTAAAAACTGTTCACCAAAAAAGTCAAGCCCAGTAAATTCTACCACACATTTAGAGGAGAATTTATACCAATTCTTCTGGTATAAAAAAAATAGAAAAGGAGGGAACATTTTCCAAAATATATTCTATTGCCCTAATGACAAAGCCAGGAAAAGATACTCCAAGAAAGAGTCTATAGCCAGGTGAGGTGGTGAATGTCTGTAATCTCAGCAAGCAGGAGGCTGATGCAGGACGATCATGAGTTTGAGGCCAGTTTGGGCTACAAAATGAGACCCTGTGTAAAAAAAAGAAAAAAATGGATAAAAAAAAAATAAAGAGGGAAAGAAAGAAATAGGGAAAAAAGAAAGAAATTCAGACTAATATCTCAACAATATAAAAGGCAAAATCAAGAGAACTTTAAAAAGAGTATCTTAGGCTTACTTCAGCAGCACAGATACTAAAATTGTAGTAGTACAGAGAAGATTAGCATGGTCCCTGTCCAAGGATGACACGCAAACTTGTGAAGTGTTCCATTAAAAAAAAAAAACCAGAGTATTATGACTAAAAGAAAAAAAATTCTTTTGGTGGTACTGGAGTTTGAACTCAGGGCCTTGCATTTGATAGGCAGGAGCTCTACCACTTGAGCCACACCCTCAGCCTTCTAAGTGGAATTTATTTCAGAAATGTAAGGATGGTTCACCATAAGAAAATCAATCAATATAATACACTCACTTAAAGAATGAAGAGGGTTTGACATATTACATAATATTCAAAATAGAAAAGAATCAAGAAGGGGGAAAAGCCACATGATCAGGAAAAGCCATCCTCACCCAAGAGACCCCTTCTCTAGGCTGATGTGAAAAGTCTCTCTTTCCACTGTCCTGAGCAGAACTAGATTTTTGGTGGGACTGGGGTTTGAGCTCACTTGCTAAGCAGGTGCTCCCTAGTACTTGAGCCACTCCACCAGCCCTACATTGTGTTGGGTATTTTCTTTTTTCTTTTTTGTGGTACTGGGGCTTGAACTCAGGGTCTACACCTTGAGTCACTCCCACCAGCCCTTTTTTTGTGATTTTTTTTAAAGATAGGGTCTGTTGAACTATTCGCCCAGGTTGGATTTGAACCGTGATCCTCCTGATCTCTGCCTCCTGAATAGCTAGGATTACAGGCGTGAGCCACCAGCATCCGGCTTGAAAGTTGATTCTTAATCCCCACAACCACCCTGGGAGGAAAGTTCTATGGCTACCTACGGTTACCATGATGACCCCAACATTTAGGCTGCCTAAGGTCATACAGGTGCTGAGGGGAAGAAGGACCTAGATGGGTCAGTTTGACACCAACCTGTAACATCAGGCTCCTTAGGGTGTACTGAATCTAGAATATACCGGCCCAGAAAGAGTGCCAGCCTGGGTGGGCACTGAGCCTGAAGCTACTTTTTCAGGAAAAGCCTCAGAGGCAGAAAGCCTTGTGCTGGGCTCAAGCTGAGTGGGTGGCTTGAGAGATGTGAGAACATGGACAAGTCATTTCATCCTGAGCCTCAGTTTCTGCTTCTGTAAAAATGAAGGCACAGGTCAGGTGCCGGTGGCTCATGCCTGTAATCCTAGCTACTCAGGAGGTAGAGATCAGGAGGATCGTGGTTCAAAAGCCAGCCCAGGCAAATAGTCAGAGAGACTCTATCTCGAAAAAATGTATTTCACAAAAAAGAGCTGGTGGAATGGTTCAAGGGGTAGGCCCTGAGTTCAAGCCCAAGTATCACATACCCACACACAAAAAGATGAAAGCACAGTATACACTTGGCAGCCTGTTGTAATTAAATAGGACAATAAATGTGAGCCTGTGATTCACACAGGGCCTCACACAAAAGAGATGCTTCATGTCTGTTCTCATCACAGAGGCTGTTGAACACATGCACGAGACAGAGTCAGGGCCACACACACACAGGGATAAAGTTCCACTCCATTCATTCCTATGACAGCATTTTTCTAGGCTTTGTTTCATGAGAGTGATCACCAAGAACACCCTTGAAATGAAAAGTGGCTTTTGGATTTGTGGAGAAAAGAGGCAAGGGTAACGCAGGACAAAAATGAGGGAGAGAACAGAAGTCAAGAACACGGAGGGCAGCTTTAAAAAGACAAGGACAGGTGGGTGTAGCATGCATGAGAACCTGGTTTGATGCCCAGCACAGCAATAAATAAATAAACCGTCAAGCAACCTGGGCTGAATTCTTGGTGTGAGGTGAGGAGGACAGTGACAGACAGGGCCTTGGTCTGGTATGTGGCTTGGTGTAGAAACTACAGGAAGGCCACAGAAAATTCCGACTGGGGAAGAAGCTTCTAGATGAATCTTTCCCCTGACCTGCTCACCCTTGGCATGAATGGCTCAAGCAGCTCAAAGGGGCTGCGTTTCTCAATTGCTTCAATACCTTCCTCCTTAAGGCCAAGAGATTTCTTTGTTCATGTATCTGCTCTTTGAAAAGAGAAACTCTCTTCTGGAGGGTGACAGGATGCACCCCAGGCCTCCCCAGCCTTCTCTGCAGTTGTGTCCCTGGCTTCCTTCTAGAGATGAGCTGTTGTGCTCAATCAGTTTGGCCACCTTCCAGCCAAGTCCAGAAGCAGAGGCTGCAATGCAGGGGATATTAAAACTATTTTTAGATCCTGTTTTAATCTCATTCAGCACAGGCAGTGAGATACAAGGCCTGAAGGTGGCCAGACCAAGGGGATGCCAGCAGGGACAAAGTCCCAGGCAAGCAGGTCAGGAAAAAGATGAGGAGACCTTCTTTATGGACAGAAAGAAATGCCCAGAGGCTTGGGCTGCAGTAGACAGACATCTGCTCAGAGAATCCAGCCCTCCTGCATTAGTACAGTCACCAAGAAAAATGGGGAGGGCAGTGCCTTCCAAAAAGAGACTAGGGCAAATTGTGTCTGGGGAGCTTGTTAAAAATAGACTTCCCGCTGGGCGTGGTAGTGTGTGTGTGTAATCCCAGAGGCAGGAGGATAAAAGCCAGTCTGGGCTACATAGTAACACCCTACAAAAACACATGGGAGGGTGAACATGGTACAAATACTGTGTACACATGTATGTAAATGGAAAAATGATACCTGCTGAAACTATTCCAGGAATGGGGGAGGGGAAAAACAAGGGAGGTGGGTGAATTTAAGTGTGATAAATTATAAGAACTTTTTTCTTCTTTTTTTGCAGTACTGGGGTTTGAACTCAGGGCCTACACCTTTAGCCACACCACCAGCCCTTTTTTTGTGATGGGTTTTTTCTACATAGGCTCTTGCAAACTATTTGCGCAATCCTCCTGATCTCTGCCTCCTGAGTAGCTAAGATTACAGGTGTAAGCAACTGGTGCCTGACATAGTGTAAGAACTTTTGTAAATGCCACAATGTACCCCCCACCCAGCACAAATCAAACCAAACAAAACACCACCCCCTCAGCCCGTCTCAGATGAACTGAGTCAGGTACATTTGGAATGGGGCTTGGCAACATGCAATTTTGTTCGTACTTCAGGATGAGTGACACACATGTGTAGCTTGAGGGCCTCTGGCTGGATAGCACCTCTGGAACTCAAAGGAATGACGTCAGCTTGCACGAAGGAAAGGCTCAGGTGGTCATATTTAATTGCTATCTTCTGTCTTGCTGAACTCAGGTCTTTAAAATGAAGGACCCAGGCAAGGCTAAGAGTCTCCTAGCTCACCTTCAGAAAATCCTTACCCCTGGCATGCTCAGTGATCATCTGAGAGCAGGAAAAACAGCTTTTATATCAGAGGTGTGGGTGACCCATGGACAGGATAATCAGTAATAGTCCACTTGAAATAAACACACTTATAGCAGAGACCAAACTTAGATGTTGTGAAGGGAAAGAAGTTTGATAAGGAATGTCATTTTGTCTTAAAGTTAGCCAACTAGATTTTACTTGCAACTATAGAACAATTCTTTTATTTATTTATTTTTTTTTTGAGACAGGGTCTCACTATGTAGCCCAGGCTGGCCTCAAATTTACAATCCTCTTGCCTTGGACTGCCAAGTGCTAAGATTACAGCTGTGAGTCATCATGCCTGGCTCCTGTTTTGACATATTTTGTATCTTCTCTTTTCTCCAAAGGAGACAATTTGCATTTTCCCAGAATTTCTCTTAATCCTTTGCAAGTCAAGCCATTAATTTCTGAGGCACTTATGCCATATTACCATGAAGGCTCTCTTCCAATGTCACCTGACCTCACTCACTGGCCAATGGCTACGCATGAAATTCTCCAACACTGGTCACACTGACAATGAAATCATGCTGGTTTAGGATTATTCTCTGTGATGCATGTGTCTTCCCCACTGCACGACCAGACATTGTATCAGCCAGTGATCAGAGAAGCTGGCCGTTAGGGACTAAGAGAGGACGAGAAGAAGAGGAGTGGGGGAGTTTTTGGCTCTGGTGACTATGGCTTCTCCTGCAATCTCTTAATAGCAGGAGGATAAAGAAAACCAAGATAATGACCCCCCCCCCCAGTAAAAACAAACAAGGTATGTGTGGACAAGCAGGTAAGTGGTGGCATCACTTTGCACTCTGCTTTTTTTGAACACCTTTAAAAAATCCACCCACACGAAGCTTTGAGTTCAAACCCCAGTACTACCAAAAAAAAAAAAAAAAAAGCCCACAGCCCACCCACAAATGTTGTTTCATACTGTGTTGTGGCTCCCATCTGTCCTTCCAGATAAGCAAATTACCTCACCAAGTAGTCAAGACAAAGAGCAATTGGACAGGCGACACTTTAATCTGCTAGTATCTTTAGAAAATATCAAGGGCCAGAGCCCTGGGGGAACAACAGGCTGAGAGGGAGGTCAGCGATGGCTAAAGAATCCCTGAGGATGGTTATATTTAAATGGTTTCATCCTGTTTGGACCCCTAGGGAAAGAAGAAAAGAGAGAGCAGTTAATCCCACGCCTTCCAGACTGGCAAAATAAATTATGGTTCACACGAGGGAATGCCACCTAGCTGTTTGTGGAAAACTTAACAGTTACACCACACAGGACATTGTGAGAAAATCACAGCACAGCACAGTAAGGTATGACATTTATTTTGCACAGATGTCTCTATGTGCTTGCAAATGTGTGAACACAGAATTGGAAGGGCCTTCACTATAGTGGGCATTTGGGGACAGGCAAAATTTTAGATTTGTCCTTTTAGATTATTGTTGTTTATATATTTAACAGCAAATATTTTATTAATGTAAATTTTAAAAAGTAAGGAAAAAAAAATCTAAAAATCCCCTTTGTAGGGAGATTCCCATGCAGGTAGGAGTCTGGGAGTGAAAAGACTCTTAGCACTTGCCAAGGCTGTGGGTTTATACCTACTACCTTTAGGTACCACTTCTGTCATTTTATACATTTTACAGATGAAGAAACAGGCCCAGGGAGGTGATGTATCTGCCCAATACTGTGTGGCCAGGAAGGAGCAGAGTCAAATCTGAAAGCTGGTGTGATGCCAAGGCTGCGTGCCACAAAGGAAGGCTGAGAGTCATGGTTAGGCCAGGCAAGGCCTGTGTCCAAAGCCTGAAACCTGTGAACCTTAGGTGCTTCAGCTGTAGTTCTGGGTCCCCAAGCAAAACGTCGCAGAACACACAACTCCACAAGGAATGAGGTCCAGTGAAGAAGGGATCCTTTCCCATTTTTGTCTATGACTGATAAAAGGTCAATTTAACAGATGGTGACACCTGGTCTTGGCCTAAGGAAGTGTGCATGTGTTTTTGTGTATGGCAGGGACTGTAAAGAGGGGAGAGGGAAGGTTTTGATTCCCCACCAGTGGTTGAGGGCTTACCTACCCTGCACTGGGCTTGGCACTTTATGCAGCTCATCTCACTGATTTTCATCCTCCCAGTAAAACCTAAGATAGGCATTGCTTTACAGACAAGGGGCAGGGGCACTCAGTACAGACCCTACTCACAAAGGCAAAAATTTGAAGATTTTGGGGTCTCTTTCCGGCCCCAGAGTCCTGACTCATATCTATGACATCATATGCCAACCAACACCAGAAGGACACAGTCACCTGGGCACATCTGGGAAGTTCTGATGGAGACAATTCAGCCCAACAGTCCCCAGCCAAGGCCAAGCTGCACCTCAGGTCTCCTGCTTCCCACACTAGTGCTATGTATCCTGGCCCCTTGACACGATTGCAACCCCAGTGGTCAGCTGGACACCAGGCTATGAGCCTCACGTCTCCCACCCACTGTTGTGTCATTAATAGGATCTGAGTCACCAAAGGGACATCTCAGAGTACTGACAGATTTGCTCATCACTTCAGTAATTAGGTCCTCGGGAACCCTTTGAGAAAAGGAAGCAAGCACAGCTGTATGAAAACTCCCACCCTGGAAATGTGCTACAGTGGCTGGGAGAGTGGGAAGAGCTCTGATCTCGCACAGATTCACAGGGGAGAGCAAGACCAACACCGGGTGTCAGCTCTGCCTCCCTGAAGCCACTTGGGGCTGGGGCTGGCTATTATTGACAACACGATGAATTAGGCCAGTGGAGGTGACAGAGGAGGAGAATGCTGGGACAGATGCCAGAAGCTGGACCCAGCTGTTTGGGAACAAGGTGAGGGATAGGCACAAAGGAGACATTCCAACTAGAAAGAGATTACAACCCGGACACTGCTCTTCCTCACTGCCTTGTTCAAAGGGAAAGGAGGCATGAGCACTGGGCTCTGGGGTTTTGAAAGAACAAAACATGATTAGGGGATGAAAGAGGGAAAGGATCCAACACCAAAGAGAAAGGGAAAGTAGGCAGAGGTGCTGAGCCCAGACACTAAATACCCACTGTCAGGACCTGCTGGCATATTCAGGGTCCCTGACTCATGTCAGGAATTATCTGAGTAGCCTGGCACTGGTGGCTCACCCCTGTAATCCCAGCTACTCAGAAGGCAGAGATCAGAAGGATCGTGGTTTGAAGCCAGTCCAGGCAAATAGATCACGAGACCCTATCTCAAAAAACCCTTCACAAAAAAAGGGCTGGTGAAGTGGTTCAAGGTGTAGGTCCTGAGTTCAAACCCCAGTGCAGCAAAAAAACAAAACAAAAAACAACAACAACAAAAAGGAATCATCCAGGAGCTTCCTATGAAGCCCATGAATTACCTCTGATTCACCATAAGCTGGAAGGTGTCACCTCCACCACTTCAGTCCCTTGGAGCCTGGCTCAGTGTGCAACAGAACTGATTGCTCTATGGCCACTGCCCTCGGCACCAGTCTCCCTCAGGAGATGGTTCCCTGTGTGCTGCCACATGTCCCAAGGAGCACCCAAGAGATGACAGCAGACTCCCTGGGGTCTGTGGGATGCACCAGCTTAAAACACTCATTCGTAAGTCAAGAGCAAGACCCTAGTTTCCCACAGGAAGTAGCGGAGGTTCAGCCACATCTTCTTGGTTCAGGGCCTGGTGCTGCTTACATGTGTAGGGTGGGTGGCCTCCTCCTGTGGTTCCTGAAGACAGGTGACCCAGGCTGCTAGGGATGTTTTAGGAAGGAGGGAGAGGATTCTCTCTGGGAAATGTGGCAGCAGGATTTTAATTTCTGCTGTGAACAGACAGGTGCACCAGAAAAGGAGCCACCATGCCAGACCCACACACTAAGACCTAGCCTCCTGCAGGTCTCTGATCTTTGTTCCAAATCCTCATGAGAAGTTACCAGAGCCCTCATCCTTGCCTCACCTGAAGAGTCGCAGACACATCTTCTCCTGAGGAAATTCTTTGGGTCCCTCCACGCTGTCGTCATGGCTCTCGGTCTCCAGGTAGACGTCAAGCAGCACACACAGCCTCTGCAGCTGGTTGGTCAAGAGCTGGTAGCTGGGCCTGGGGCCACACAGCTCCTTGTAGCACACATTGACCTCACTCTCCATGGCCTGTGCAGGTGGGAAAGCCAATGCCTCAGTGCCACCTTCCCACACGTGGCTGGCCACAATGGCTGGGCTACTGTCCCTGGCAGGCCCCAAGGTTACTATAAACAAGAACTGCAACCAGAACCTCTACAGTTGCTGGGCCTGCGATGAAGCCAGACTGCCTCGTCCACCCTGAGGCCTTTCCTCACCTGTAACTGTCCCTGCTTCAAATGACCAGAGCCAGGAAGACAGCTGTGCAGAAAAGCAATCTTGAGACAAGACCCAAGTGAGAAGGTGCTAGGATTAAAATGTGCTCCGTGGCCGTAAGGCTGCTACCGAATCCTATCAGAAGGTGTGACCCTAAGTGACAGCTGTATTTAGCCCGCCATCACCTCATTCCAATGCTCCAGTAACGCTGCTGAGTTTACTCACGTTCTCACAGAACCCCAAGATGGCAACCTTTAAGCCAAGTACTCCTATTGTATAAGCGGGGAAAGCTGTGGGCCCTGAGGGAGGTGAGAGGGCGAGAGGGGTCTAGGCCCTCTCCTTTTTTACACTCCACAAATCCTGCCAAGCCCATGTCCTCAGCTGTGGAAGATTCTGTCATGGCCCACCTCTCCAGATGGTTCTCTGCTCCTGTCACCCTGTTGTGGCCCTTACCCGAATGTTGTCATCATTGCTGTTGGTTTTCTCTCCTTTCCAGTTCAGACAGAGCTGGAAAATGGGTGGGATGGAGGAGTAGCCAGGGTTTAACACCACGGCGGCCTGGAGTTTGGCTGGGAAGAGAGGGGAGAAGAAGAAGAATCAGGTCTGTCACCCAGTTTGCCATGATAGCCTCCCCAGTGGACCCCAGGCCAGCTTAGATGTCACCTATTAAGCCATGAGCTGCAGAGTACACTGGCACCTCAAGGGCTTTGTTCTCTTTGCTGGTCTCCCCGGTACTCAGTCCATCTTGTGTATGCCCACAAGTTCAGTTTGCTATCTTGAAAGAAGTTTGTCATTTCTTTTTTATTTTTGTAAAGATGTTTTTGAGACAGAGTCTCACAATACAGCCCAGGCTGGCCTCAAACGTTTGGTCCTTCTGCTTCAGCTTCCTAAGTGCTCGGATTAAAGGCCTGTGACACCATGCCCAGTTTGTCACTTATTTGCTAGCAGGTTAAGGATTCTTCCAGGTGAAAGCTTACTATCTGTTTTTTCCTTTCAACAATATTGTTGTTAACTTGTATTAGTTACATCAATCAAGTGTATTTTTTTTTTCTATTCTCTTCCTTTCACTTTTAGATACTTTGTTTTGTGAAATTCTTTTCAAAAGCCAACACTTACTGTATTCCAGGCACTGTGCTATCCCCTTGAAGTACATTTTATTTGATTCTAACAAGGGTTCTATCAGAACGATCGTCCTCACAAAGACAGCGATGCTGCCTTTAGCCAGACTGCCTGACGTCAGAGCTGTGTTCGTAATCATATAGTGAAATATCTGTATCTTTTACTATATTCACGCTTCCTCTGGTGATGGCTTTTGTCTTTTTCACAGGGTGACATTTCTCCTCTCTACCAACAGGCACTTAGAACTTGCTATGGTTTGGATGACTTGAGTGCATCTCCCCAAAGGTTCATGTGCTAGAAGTGTGGCAGTGGTGACAGGTCACAGAACCTTTACAAGGCAGGGCCTAGTGAGAGGTAATTAGGTCTTAGGGGTTGGGAGGGATACCGCCCTCTGAAGGGATTACTGTAACTTCTCTTGGAACTCTGGTTAGTTCCCACAAGAAAAACTTGCCAGCAAGGCTGGGGCTAGAGGTATGAGTCGAGTGTGAGTGCCTGGCTATCAAGTGTAAGATCCAGAGTTCAAACCTCAGTACCACCAAAACAAAACAAGCCTCCAAAAGTGTGAGCTAAAGAAACTTTTCTTTATAAGACACCTGGTCTCAGGAATTGTATTATAGCACTCAGAAACAGACTAATATAAAACCACAGATAGGTTCCTCAGCTCAGTGGCCACAGCAGTGAACCTGGGGGTGAGACCCTGTGGGCAGCACCAGGTTTGCTGGGGCTGGTAGGACAACAGCATAACAGCCTGAGCATAGCCTCTGGATGGCTCCAGCAGGAGGCCCTGGCAGAGTCAGATGGCAGCTTCTGATGCCTCTAAAGGGAGTGCGGGGACTGAGGAAGAGGGAGGAAGGTCCTGCACCCCTGCCCTATACAACCTGAGAGCAACACCCCTGCCCTTCTGTGCAGGAGGAGGAAGGAGATCTGATACTCAAGATCAGCAAAGCAAAGGGCAGAGAGCCAGGCTTTCCTCAGCTGTAAAGTAGGCTGATTCTGCCCACACTTGGGACTGTGGTGAGGATGAAAGGAGGAACCGTGTAGTGGTTCAAGTCCTCCGTGGACCTCAGCTCCCACAAGCACAGTAGGGTCTTTTGCTTCCCTTGGGAAACCTCCAGACTTGTGAGATTCTTGGCGGCTCCCCTTGACTAGACCCATTGGGGTTAGCAGAGCAATTACCAACCTGTGCCCCTTTCAACAAGTGCCATGTAGTAGAGATTAGTGTCCCCCGCTAGTCCGGCCTCCACAACGTCCTTGGTGAAGTGCAGCTCCTAGAACAGGCACCATGGACAAAGAGTAAGCTGCTGGCTTCCCTAGTCAAATTCCTTTGCTTTTGGTGAGGGTGGGGACAGGAGTTAAGAGGTGATGTGGTCCTACAGTCCCAGGACAGCCACTCTTTCACCTACCATGTAATCCTCATGGGCCATGGTCACCCACTTTACCAGGCGAGAGACAACCTTGGCAGGAAACAAGTACTGGCAATCACTGGTAACTGGCACAATGCCATGTTCTGAAAGAGGGCAAGACAGGTGGTGTCACGGGTAGAGATCAGGTCCCACAGCTGGGTCATCAGCACTGGCCTGAGGCCCTGCCATCTGTCCTGGTACACCTGGCACTCAGGTCAACACATGCCAGGAATACAGGCACACCAACCTGACCTTCATGAAGGGGTATGTGCCTGTGGCCAGATCCAGCACCTGTATTTATTCACGGTGCTTTACCCTTAATGCAAATGACAGCCAGCAAAACAAAAACCCCCGAGGCCAAAACCAGTGTTGGTGTCCCTGCTGCAGGGATTATTAATTAGAACAAAGAGCTGGGTGAGCTGTGTTTTCACGGCTGACCTTGACAGAGGTGTTTTCTGTGTCAGTTCCTCTAAGGGAGGAGAGCTGGAAAACTGCTCCAGGGTAAATTCCTGCTGGCACTTCAATAAACAAATATGCCAATACAGTAAGCTGTCCTGGGTGATAATCATCAATCTTGGGACAAAACAAATTAAGCAATGGTGGAGAGCAAGACCTGATGGACAGATCAGTGTCCACATGGAGCCAAAGAACTGGCCCAGGGCGTTGAGTTCTCCAGGTGGGTCCTGAAACCCAATGCCTTTCCTGAGAGTGAGTCTTCTAGATCTAAAAGATCTGACACCCTCCCCTGCACACACCTATGCCCACCCTGCAAGTGCACACTTATCAAGGATTTATTGAATTAATAAACTAAAAGAAGCCCCACAATGGCCGGCACAGAAGTCAGTAGGTCATCATAATCACCTGGGAGCTTAGGAGAACACAGGGGGCTCAACTCCATGCCGAGGTGCATCAGGTCAGTATGTGTAGAGAGTCGAGGGAATGGATCCCTACACAGCTCTATTCAATGGGCTGAGAGTGAGCTCCTGAGGGCGGGCCTCCATTGGGGCCCAGCATGCATCAGGCTCTCATTAAATGCCTTCAAGTGCACATCAAAGTCTGGGATACACTGATTTAGGATGAACAGCCTGATCAGTCTATGAACTTGGGCCACCAAAGGCTCTGGGAGCATCTCTGGGAGAGCCAGGGCAGTCCCGATGGCTCTGCAGGGAGCTCAGGCCTCTGCCTGAATGGGCCCGCAGCTCAACACCCCTGCTCAGTAGTCAGGAATCCCAGGCTCTTTGATTTGTCAGCAGGATTTAAGAGTTCTGCATGAAAGGTTGTTGTTTTATCCCTGTGTTGTCAGAATGAGAGTTAGTCCCCAGGCTCAGCTCACCCAGAGATGCAAACTGTTTATGGAGAGCCAGACGGGATTGCACTCTGGTCTTCAGCAGTGTCATGGTGGTCTCCATGTGGCTGGCGCTCTGGGAGTGGTCGGCAATCACCGTGTACTGTGAATGACAGGGAGAGGTACACGCCTGAGAGCCCTGCCTCCCTTCCTGCACCTCTCTCCTGGGACCTGCCAGTCTGCACAGCCTGGACCACGCACATCCCAAGGTGGGTGCTGTTCAGTCATAGCAGGGTCTATCCACTATGACAGACAGAAGGTGAGTCCTGGCAGGAACACAGGCTGCTGGATTCTCAAGAGGCTGTGACCAGTTCCTGAGAAAACACAGGCTTCTGCTAAGGTGCCTGGCCCCCTGGCTTTCTTCCACGCCTTGGTTCTGGCAAGAAACAAGGGAAGCAAAACCTGCAGCCATGCTGCACCTAGAGCAGGGACCAAGTTACCTTGGTCTAGAAGACTACTAGGCTCAGGGAGAAGGCAAAAGGCATTTCAACACTTGTAGGCCTGAGACCTACAAGTGTCCTGAGCGGATGCAGGACTGATCACAGTCCCAAGGAAAGGCATTCTGCAGACCAAAGCCCCAACAGGCCAGAAGGCTTTCTGGAATCAATCCAACAGGAGGTGGAGGCCCTCAGCCAAGGAGGCAGGGTCAGTGTACACACCTGGGGCTGCTCTTTGGGGAAGTGGAGGCCACCCAGCTTCTGTACCCACAAATAGGGGTGACCTAGGTCAAGTACATAGTCTCTCAAAGTCAGGATGCTGTGGAAAAGAAGACAGAATAAAATTATTGTATAAGTCATTTCTGCTGTGGTCCCCAGATACAGCCTCTCTTCCACCCCCTGGTGCCTCACAGACAGCCTGTTCATAGCTAAGCTGCCTGCAAAGTACCTTAACTTCATCAGCTCCTTACTGGGAATTTTATCTCTCCCACATTCATGTTCCTCTTTTCCCCTTGCAGCCTTCAAATCTTAAGCAAATCTCAAATAGAAGGCTTTGCACTAACCTCTTCACCAGTCTGCCAATATATAAAATATTTATAAAAATTTTAACTGGATGTGGTGATGCAGTTTTATAATCCCAGCCCTTGGGAGGCTGAGGCAGGAGGGTCTTGAGTTCAAGGCCAGTATGGGTCACATAGCAAAACTCTATTTCAAGAAACAAACAGACAAAAAAACCCCAACAACAATCCAAAAACTTAATCACCAGAGAATTAAAATTAAAAAATTTCAAATGTTAAACATTTTTACTGTATCAGGGAGGTTTTTTTTTCCCTTCTCCTTGAAGAGTTGGGGACTGAAACCAGGGCTCTGCTGCTGAGTCACATCTCCATCCCTTATCACATATGTATATGGTCCTCAAATTTTGATTCATCTGTCCTTCCACCACATCCCCCTGCCTTGTAAGCAAGAAAGGGAATGTGTCCCATCCAGCCCCACGGTCATCTTACCCTTTAGGTGGCCTCTGGCCCTGACCGGTCTCCAGCTTGGCCTTGTGCCATCAAGACACTCAGAAACAGAGAGGCTGAGAGAGGGAAAATGCTGCTGACTCACCCAACTTTATCGAACTGATACTGATTGGCTGGATTCGGAGTTTTCTTTCCATGGTCTCCAGGATACAAACAACTGAGGACTGAGTCAGGGGACAGCAAATCCCTGCAAAGGAGAAGAGACTGCAGTGAGAATGCCGGCCAACATCGAGTCTCCAGGTGCACAAAGGCATTTGGGGGTGGCAAAGCCTCCCATGGGCCAGACTCTTTCTGTGAACTCCCAATTTCTTTTTTTTAAACCCTCTATTCAAGAGTTATATGGTGGCTAGGGCCTTACCTTGGAGGAATAATAAAAATAGTACCAGAAATAAGGATAGTAAAAATGTTTTTTACATGTGCAATTAAGCTATTTTGTTTTTTTGTTTTTCTGCAGTGCTGGGGATTGAATCCAGCTTTGTGCATGCTAGGCAAGTACTCCACCACTAAGCTAAGTTCTCTAGCTGTGGGGGTAAATGGGGTGAGTGCATAAATTATACATATTTGTGGGGTACACTGTGATAATTTGATACACGCATACTGATCTAATCTGGCACTTAGCACTTCCATCTTCTTAGACATTTCTCATTTCTTTGTGTTGGAAACCTTTGAACTTCTCTCTTTACAGTTCTTAATAAACTGTAGTAAGCTGTTGTGAACTGCAGTCAACACTATACTGCAGAACATCAGAACTCACTCCTCTTATCTACTTATTGTGGTACCTGTGACCCAATCCCTCTATTTTCCCTCCACCCAATAATGATTTCTAGTAAATGTAACAATGTCCATTATAATAGAAATAATAAGGATTTTCTTCAAAGCAGATCAGACTCCTTCCACCCCAGAGAAAACAAGCGTGCTCGGTCTATATCACTTTGACCAAATCTCATGGTAATCAAGAAAAAAAAGACCTTCTTCATATTCCCAGACAGAGGTATTATCACATGCACTGGAGACACAGTGACTCAGTGCTGTAAGGAGAGAGAGAGACAGTGTCACCACTGCCACCCACTTGGGATGGTTAGGGTACAATCTGTAATTAAATGTGACAGGCAGAGTAGAGATGGTGTGGAGGATCGTGTAGTAATTTTGTCACAAAGGACGAGGCCTGTTCTTTTCCTGAAGCAGCAGGGGAGGGTTCTTATTTTTCTCAGGATGACACCTGGAACAATGGAGGTGGGACATGCTGACCCTGCTGCTCTGAGTCTCAGGGCATTTTGTCTCAGCGTGACTTTGGGAACTTGATACCAGGACAGTGGTGGCTGCTGGCTCTTCCCTGTTCTCTGTCTCCCTGACCCCCATGGGCCTCTGCCCACTTCACTGCCTCACAGGGAGAACTGGGTGGAAAACAAAGGTTTTCAGTCTTTCAGCCACTGTTTACTGACTATTACTAATAAGCTGAATCAAGCAAACATAAAATGGAATAGCTAAAACTGCACAGGAGGCTTTTGTTTTTCTTTTTGCAGTGCTGGAGATCAAATCCAGGGTCTACCTCTGAGTTATAGCCCCAGCCCAGTTTTTAACTGACAAAACCTGGTGAAGAATCAATCCTTGACAAAAATTTACACCTGGGGCTCAGTGGTCACACCCATGCCTAGCATGCACAAGGTCCTGGCTTGATTCCCAGAACCAAAAGAAGAGGAGATTTGGAGGCATGGCTCAAGTGATAGAGTGCCTGCTTACCAAGCACAAGGCCTGAATTCAAACCCTGATACTGCTAGAAAATAAAAAATAAATGTAGGCATTACATAAAAACACAAAAAGAGTGGGTGATGATAAACCAACTGTCATTTGCCAAGTGTCTCATCTACTACCAAGGCCTGTCTCTTCACAAGTACCCTGGGGACACTGCAATTAATGACCACAAAGTGAGGACACAGACTCTGAGGCCAGGCATACAGTGTGGCAAGCAGCTGGAATGAAGTATGAAATAAAGCCAGCCAATAGCCCTGATTTTAGCACCTTAGGGATGGGCAAGCCAAAAGCTCATTACTACAAGCTCTACCCTCATCTGAGTGGACCCATGGTCCAGCTGAGCACTGCAACTGGATGCTCAGAAGCAGCAATCCTGGGCGCCCTCTGCTGGGAACAGGGTCAGTTTCATCCAGCCTGTCGCTGGGTAGTCCAGGCACAGGCTGCTAAGGCCTGAAAGAGGTGTAGACTCTTAAGTGCAAGGTCTAAAAGTGCAGAAGATTCCATCCCATCAGGCAGAATGGGAAGGGATGGGAGGAAGCCTGCTTCACCAGGGACCAGACCTGAGCCTCAGCTGTCTTTGTCCATTTGACAGTGGGACCCAGTCAGGGCGGTGACAGGAGTACTGAGTCGGGGTGGTGCTCTGGTAAGTGGAAGGTAGTCCACCCTCAGGCCCTCTCTGCCCTCCCTTCTTCCCTCCCCCAGCTGCAGAACAAGACTGCTATGGTCAGAGGCTTCTTGGAGTGGAGGACGTGTGAGCCTCTGCTCATCCTCCTCAAAACCTCCAAGCCATCGTGTTAGTGCATGCCTGCAACCCCAGCTACTCCAGAGGCAGAGGCAGGAGGATGGAAGTTTGAGACCAGACTGGACAAAGTTAGCACAACCCTATATCAAAAACAAAATAAACAAAGGGGTGACATGCCTCAACTGGTAGAACACTTGCCTAGCAGCACAAGGCCCTGGGTTGATTTCCCACGTCTAATTTTCACAGGAGAAAAACCAAACAAACACAAACAAACAAACTCTACTGGGATATCCCATAGTCCTCTTCCCACCAGCCAGGTAAGAACAAACCTGGAGATTGAGCTGAAAAATCCCAGTGGCCTGGGATAGAAAAAGAGTGGTCTAAATTTGTCAACCTAGTCAGATTTGCCAAATCACACTTTTGTATCCAGACACGTTCCATGGATTCAAAAAGCTGGTAGCTCTGCCCACTCAGTCAATTTGCAAATGCACTGTTGTCACTCTGTCATCTGCTTCACAAATCTAAGTCAGAGAGTCATTTCTAAATTCCAGGGATGTGCCAGGACTCCCAGGCTATGGGACACAATCACAGATGTGAACGTGGAAGTGGACCTTTTCAGAGGGAGGAGCTGAGAGCAGCCCAGGCTCCCACCACATCCCCTCCTCCTGGCCCATACCCTGCACTGATGGGGGTGATCAGCTCCATGGCAGTCGTCACTTTGGCTTTCACTGTCATGACGTTGAGGTTCATGAGGTAGTAGAAAGTCAGGTGAAGCACACTGTCGTCTGGAGGGGGAGGAGGAAAGGAAAAGAATCATCTATGAGTTAAATGCTTATAGCAGAGTGAGCAGTACTAAAGGAAAGAAATTCAAACATGACTTGACAATCTTTTACTATAAAAACAAAAATGCAACAACAAATAATGTTGAGGGGGAAAAAAAAAGTAGTATGTCTACAAGCTCTTGAACGTTGTGAGTCTGCCACTAGTCAACATGAACAGGGAGGCCAGAGGTCAAGGTCAACATTATCAACAAGACTAAGGGATACCCCTGGCATGATGGCATTATGACATCTCTGCTACTCTCTCCCCAAATCATAACTGCCCTCCGATCAAGGTCATAAAACAAAAGGAAAGACTGAGGAACTGCCGTTGCCCAGAGGACGCTAAGAAGCAAGACAGCTAAACACAATAGAGATCCTGCCTTGGTCCTGGAACAGAAAAAGGATATTAGTAGAAAAAGAGGGAACTCTGAATGTCATCCTGTTGTTGAGTTAATTTCACTGGATCAATGAAATTAACACTGGTTTTGATCATGGCAATGTGGTTAATTAAGGTGTTAACACCAGGGGAAGCTGGATGAAGAGGAAAAGGGAGGACAGGGGTATAGCTCAGGGGTACAGCACTTGCCTAGCATGAGTAAGGTCCTCAGTTCCATCCTCAGCACCAGCACCACACACCCACACACACACACAAAGTTGAAAACAAACAAACAAACAAAAAGCAGAGAGAACCAGTGTGCATAGCACATTTCCATCTGTGTAAGAAATAAAGGGAGCGTGAAGTCCTGAGTTCAAACTCCAGTCCCACCAAAAATAAATAAAGTGGGATAAATATATACTTGTATAAAAGTTTCTGGATCATAGAATATTTCTAGCAAACACATAAAAATCTATAACAGTGGTTGTGGTTAGAGGTCAAGACCAAGGACTGGCATCAGAGAGCCTGGGGTGAGGGAAAGTTAGATTTCATTGTTACCTCCTGTATTACCAAACACTTACCATGTACTCCTTTCCTACAAAACCATATTCTTTCTCGTCTCTCTTTTTTTTTTCTTGGCAGTACCAGGGTTTGAACTCAGAGACTCACACTTACTAGACAGGTACTCTACCATTTGAGTACTCCACCAGGTCTCAAGACATAGTCTCTGCAGAACAGAGTTCTAAACTCGTATTATTTACACACACACACACACACACACACACACACACACACACACACAATTTTTTTCCAGTACTGGGGTTTGAACAAGGGCCTACATCTTGAGCCACTCCACCAGTCCTTTTTTGTGATGGGTTTTTTTGGGATAGGATCTCACAAACTATTTGGCCCCCAGGTTGGCTTCAAACCTCAATCCTGATCTCTGCCTCCTGAGTAGCTAGGATTACAGGAATGAGCTACCGGTGCCCGGCTGTAAACTCATATTTATTAAATTAAACTTGGTGGTGGTATTACTCAAAACCTACATACTCTTGCAACTAGTTCTGTGCATTTGACATGTCAAATTCAGAAAGTGTAGTTTTATTAAATGTCCCTTATGTGTCTGGATTTTTGTTGCTTTGTTGTATAAGGTTATGGCTTAAAAAAAAAAAAGTCAAACACTCGTGCAAAACAAGGGAGAAAAACAGAGAACAAGGTCACCAAAACAATTTTAGGGGCAAAGAGGCCTCTAGCTTATTGGGCTCTCTGCACCCACAGCTGGTCAAACTCAGATGCTACCAGATCCCCCAGGATGAGGTGAGTAAGCTCACCTTTGCACTTCAGGTCCAGCATGACGGACAGCGGGTGCCTCTTCAGCATCTCCTTGCGTTTGTCATCCAGCTGAACTCCCAGTGTGGGTCGCCGTCGCTTCTGAACAAAGGAAAGGGGCAAGACGATAATCACTGGTTATCCGAATTTCCCTCTTCCCATTCCCTCTGGCCAGGGCCTCACACTGCTGTCTGGCACCCGCTGCCTCAGCTATCCGGAGCTAGGCTCCATCCCTGCAGCCCTCTCTTCAGTCCTCTTCCTCTGTGTCCAGGGAGGTGGCCCCAGCAGACTTGCAGGAAATACTGCTTACCGTGGTCTGCTCTTCCTCAGCATCCGAGTCGCTCTCGTCATCTGCGGCCACACAGAGAAGGCAGGGAAAGGTGAGAGGGCTCCACGTGCTCCCCAAAGCACCTCACCCCTGGGGACTGAGAAGTCCAGACTCTGTATATGGCTTTCTTTAGAATAAATGATAACTCAATTTGCTGCTTCTCGTTCAGTAATAAAAACATGGTGCCAGGCACTGGTAGCCCACACTTGTAATCCTAGCCACTCAGATCAGGCAGGAGGATCATAGTTCGAAGCCAGCCAGGACAAATAGTTCACAAGACCCTATCTCCAAAAACCCCACCACAAAAAAAAAGGGCTGGTGAGTGGCTCAAGATGTAGGTCCTGAGTTCAAGCCCCAGTGACACAAAAACAAACAAACAAAAACACAAGAATGACCTATCATCCCACCACCCGTTTCTTTTTTAGATCTTTAATGTCATTTCTATGGAGAACAAGCCCCTCCACTGGTGGTAATGGTGATATAAATAACAAGAATATTAGCTGCTTGCACAGAGGGGTTACTATGTGCCAAGGATGATGTTTAGGACCTTGTATGCCTTGTCCCATCTAACCACGTAATTCTAGATGAGATATTACCATTCTTCTTTTACAGATAAGTAGACTGAGGCTTAGACCTTCCCAGGGCCAGTGAGGTAGTGAGTGGTAGGGCTGTAGGACTGTAATCCAAAGGCAGCTCTCTGTGACTCCAAGAACTGAGTTCTCCCATCTGCCCCAAACACTGACTTCCTGCTACACGGAAGCAGTCCAGCTAGAGCCAAGGAGAAATGGCCTTGGGTGCTGACCTGATGTTCCTGGGGAGGCAACCCAACCACCACTTTACCTTGGGAGTCCTCAGGGGGCTTGAACAGAGCCTTGGCTTCATCCACACTGCCTTCGATTGCCACAGACAATGTCTTATCTGTGGACAAGAAAAAGCTTCATGGGAAAACTGATGGGGAGGAGCTGAGAAAGGCAAGCAAGCAAGCGTGGGGCTACATTTTTTCCTGCTTCTTCCCCAGAAACTGGTAGGGAAATTAAATCTTTTTTCCATCATTTTCTGAGAACACCCCAAAAAAGAATTTCCAGAGAAGCATCCCTAAGACCGTGTTGAATGTCTCTCTTTTCATGTATACATAAGGCACAGAAATTCAAACCCTGACTCCACAGCACCATGAAACTCTTCTGCCAACTGTCCTAAAACTCACCTGTCCACATCCCCAGAAACGACAGCTCTCGCCTAAGTGTTTATTCTCTATTCTGCATGATACCCACCACCTGACAACACCATCTCACTTAACTGCAGAGAGTAGGTAGGAGGGTGGACCCTGCAGTCCAGTCCCAGGCCCATCAACTCCTGAACACATGACCTGGAAAGTGAAGTCACTGCTCTAAGCCTCAGTTTCCAGCCTATGAAATGGGGTCTTGGCGAATCACTACCTTGCTGAGCGGTGGGGGCTGATGACGCTGATGCTTATACTTTTAACTACAAAATTATTTTTAAAAAATTAGCTTTTAGGTATAGTGATGTAGTTCAGGGATAGAGTACATGATTAGTATGCATGGGTTCAATCCCCAGCACTGGTAAATAAATAAGTCTTACTCTTACCAACAACTCTATAGAACTGATGTTATCATTACAGATATTTAAAAATGAGAAACCTAAGGCTCAGACAAGTTAGAAACCACAGCCAAGAAGCAGATAAGCCAGGATTCAAGTTCAGGTTTGTCGAACTCGAGTTTGGCCTCTCAAACACTGTGTTAACAGCCTGTTCCACACACTGGCCTGATATCCCACTGAGTGACTCCTCGTGCTCTCCTTTTGTGGAATTCTGGGCAGCCCAGTAGTAAGAGGTCAAACAGCGCACCACCCCACTTCCTGCATTTCTTTTTCTGTGGTTTAGAGATCAGACCTAGCACCTCAGCTACGTCCCCAACCCCTTCCAGTCTCAAGGGTACGGAGTCACAAAAGCCTCACACCATTTGTCCAGCTGCACTAAAGAAGTGCGTACACTTTCCCCAATAGTCGACTTCTGTGCCACGTCTACCAACCATACACAAACCATCTTACCCACCCACCAACAAGCTGTAGCTGGGGATTGAACCCAAGGCCTTGAGCATGCCAGGCAAGCACTGTACCACTGACTAAACCATATTCCCAGCCAGAGTACTCTTTCAGTTGTTTAATCCTGAGTCTACAGGAAAATGGGAGCGGAAGCAAGCTGAATTTTAAACACACACGAAAAAAAGATAATTACTCACCCTGTCTAGGGGGCTGGGAGGAGGATTTCATATGAGCTGATGATGGAAACAGGAGGGAGAACAAAGGAGTGGGAGACGGCGGAACGGACCAGAGAGACACAAGAAGAGAGACAGTAATGTGTTGGTGCCGTGGCTGGGAGGAGGGCATGCACTGGTTCGGTCTATGTCTGACTGGTGCGATGGGTGGGATGGGATCGAGGAGGAGATGTTCAGGCATTGGGGGCAAGCTGCAATGGCGCAGAGCAAAAGCTTTCCCAACACTTAGCAGAGTCCCAGGCTGCCCCTAAGCTTCAGGACACAGTCTTTCACCTGGTGAGACACGTAGCCTATTTCAGAGCCCAGTGAAAGAAAGTCCGGGAGCACTGGCAGGAATCTGTGTTCACCAAGTGCTTTTCCTTGCCCCCTAAAGCAGAATAGGAAACACCGATCCACTTGCCAAGCATGCCTTAATGGAGCGAGAACCTGAGAACCTGGACAGGCTGTTCAGGCACTGCACCTGGGGGCCATCCAGCCAGGCTTATGAAACATTCAAAGCCATTTATTCTGAAATGCCCATCCAGTTAGTCCAGCCTCAGGCAAGCTGGTTGAAGCAGCCATGCTGGGTATTGCAGAAGGGAAGCAGCACCTATCACCTGAGGGCTTCTGGGCAGGGTTGGGGAGCTCTCTTGGGGGAGCCAGTGCTTCCACATGACTCAGTAGCCGTGGCTGCTGCTCCCACAGCCCTCACCCTCACCCAGCCCCCATACTCACCACAGGCCTGCCCATAAGCAGTGGCCTGGACAAAGAGCACATAGAGGGGCGGTGGCAGGTGTCTGGCCGTCTCGTACTGCTTGTGAGCCTGGTCAAAAGGCATGAACAGGTACTCCTGCACTGGGAGGGAAGCCTGTGGGCAACAGAAGGTGAGTTTTTATTTGCCCTTTTTTCATCCATCCACAGGACCATGTAGCTGCTTTGCGACCATATGTAGTTTTTATTTACAAAGGTAATACATGATTAAACAAACAGATAAGCAGACAAAGGTTAACAGAAGAAAAAAAATCAGTTGTGGCTGGATGTGGTGGGCAAGCCTGTAATCTCAGCATTTAGGAGGCTGAGGCAAGAAGATTGCTAGTTCAAGGCCAGCCTGTGCCAAGGAAGGCCATCTCAAAAAAAAAGAAATAGAAAATTCTATATTCAATATCACTAGATCCTAGGGAGATGAAAATTACAACCAGAATGAAATACTCTCCACAAAGCTAAAATTACAAAGACCGACCCTATCAAGCACTGGACAGGATGTGGAACCATGGGAACAGTGCTGTAGGAATTTCCTTTTCAGCGTCCACCCAAGCTTAATGTATGTACAGCGTACGCTATCCAGACAGCTTCATTCCTGCGCACAGACGCAGCAGAAATGTGGTACCCAGAGCAGCCTAGGTAAATTTCACAAATTGTCACTGCGCTAAAGAAGCAGACACAGAGTGCATACAATTCTACTTTCACAAAGCTCAAAACAGGCAAAAAAACAAAACAAAACAACAAAAAACAGTCAAAAGTAACCTATGGCTTAGAAGTCAAGATAAGGGTTATTGAGGGGTAGTGGGGAGATACAATCTAGGAGTGGGAACGGGTTCTAGAAAACTGGCAATGTTCTTTCAGGTGTTTATGCAGATGTGGTAACGTAGTGAAGATTCATTTAGTTGTATATTTATGAGTTGTATGCTTTTCTGCATGCAAAATTGTTACTATTAACATGATTATTTTGGGTGCTGGGGAATGAACCCAGGTCTTTATGTATGCCAATACACACTACCACTGAGTTGCATCCCAGTCCTGTAAAATTAAATTATTTATTTATTATTACTATTTTTTCGAGATGGGGGTGTCCTCCTTATGTTGCCCAGGCTGCTCTTCAACCCCTGGCTCAGCCATTCCTCCTCACATCTATATAGTCGTATACGTATGTCATTTCAGAAAAGTTGTATTCTAGTTCACATCCCCCAGAGATAACTGTTAATGGTTTGGTGTGAACATATTTCCCAACTGTTCACAAAACTCACGCACATATATATCCATACACACATTGAAATATACAAATGAGCTCATATTGTAAGTTCTACAACTTGCATTTTTTTACTTAATAATATATTAGATCTTCTTTCTGTCCAGTTATTCTATTAGTGGCTCCCATATTCCCATCACAGTTGCAAGGCTATATTATGCAAAAATTTATTTAATCTGGACCCTATTCAGGGACATTTACAGAGCTCCAATTAACAGGAGAATTTTTTTTTTTGGTGGTACTGGGATTTGAACTCAGGACCTCATACCTAATAGGTTGGCACTCTACCACTTGATCCATCTAGCCAGCCCTGTTTTGTGCTGGGTATTTTCTACATAGGGTCCCACAAACTATTTGCCCGAGCTGGCCTTGAACCATGATCCTCCTGATCTCTGCCTCCTGAGTAGCTGGGATTACAGGTGTGAACCACCAGCACCCAGCCAACAGGAGAAACTGAACGATGCAGAGGAGGTGGGTTGTTAAGTACAATCAAAACTGTTAGTTTTCACTTTCTTTTTCTCTTATTATTAAGTAACACTGGAGAATATTTTTTTGAACAACTCATTTATTTATTTGTTGTTTTTTGTAGTACTGGGGTTTGAACTCAGGGCCTCGCACTTGCTAGGCAGGTGCTCTACTGCTCCAGCCAGGCCTCCAGCTCTGTGAACAACTATGCCTAGAGTTGAAGGGAGGAAGTGCAGACCTGCTAAGTCCTAGAAAAGTGAGTTTATAATTTCTCTAGGGTTCTTTTACAATGTTCCCCCATATTAGCCATTTACTCTGCTTTATAAAATTGTCAGAATTTAGAACAAATCTAGGATCTTGGTCTTGCTAGGAAAGGGCTCTACCACTTTACTACTTGGATCCACTCCAGTAGCCCTTTATATCTTGGTTGTTTGTTTGTTTGTTTACTTGTGGTACCAGGGCTTGAACTCAGCCTACACCTTGAGCTACTCCACCAGCCCTTTTTGTGCTAGGTATTTTCGAGAACTATTTGCCCAGGCTGGCTTTGAACTGCTATCCTCCTGATCTCTGCTTCCTGAGTAGCTAGGATTACAGGTGCATTGGTTATTTTTGAGATAGGGTCTCATTTCATGCCAGGTCAGTCTGGACCACATTCTTCCCAGTCTCTGCTCCTGAATAGCTAGGATTATAGGTATGAGCCACTGTGCCAGGCCAAGACATTCTACATTATAGGCAAAGTGGGAGCCTTTCCTCCTAAGGTACAAAAGGGCTCTCAAATAAGCAGATCTGCTGAGCAGGCAGATGTCTACAGGAAGTGTGCTTTGATGCCTGGAGATGGCAGGGCTGGTGGAGACCATGAAGAGGGAAACTGAACTAGCACAGCCTGGAAAACCATGCTTGCTCACCAAAGGTGACTGTGGATAGAAACAAAACACATAGGTACAGGTGAGTATACATTCCTGAGTCCATCTGCCATCATTTCTTTACCCCAGGACATAAGCTCATCACATCAGCTGGAGGGGACTGCAGACAAGACCACCCTTGCATTGCACTCTGATTAGCTTAACACACCTGGCAAAGCCCAAAGGTGACATGGCTTCAGGCAGCCTCTGGTCAGTGGTGAAGACAAAGCTAATGGTTGACGGGCTGAGCTCACCTGCATGATGCTGTTGAGGCGAGGCTGGAGGCTGCTCAGGTACTCCTTCTTCACCTCAATCTCCTTCAGGATCTTCTCCTTATTGGACAGACACTCTCGGTACTTCTCTGCCAGCCTGAAGGGTCAGTCAGAGCACTGTCACCAATGCCTCGCAGGAATACCTCCACATACCTGTTGACTCTCACTCACCCTCTAACTCAGTTTTAGTTAACTCCAGTGTCTGTCAGCACTCACTATGTGCCAGACCCTTTAGGGAGCTCATTAGAAGCGTCATCACATTTAATATATATAAAAACTCTAGAAGATAGAACTTTTCTCGTCCCTAAGGAAGCAAACTAAGGCTCAAGGAGCTACAGAACTTGCACAAGGTTATATACACAGCTGAGAGCCAGCACAAGTGAATCCATGCCTCTCTCCAGAGGTTCTGCACATGCTCAGCAGAGAACACCTCTGTGCCATCTTCTCCATTTCTTGCCTGAGAGGCTAGACCCCAAATTTCCACACATGGAACAAGAAGCTACATCACCCAAATGAGGCCCACAGACTACCTGAGTTGGGCAGGTGGGAATGGATTCCCGATCTGTGCCATAGGAATGCAGCACTCACAGCTCAGCCTGTGCCTAGCTCAAACAATAGACTGGACAGGAGAATGACAGGCCACCCCCGCCTGCTAAAACAAGGGCACGTTCAAACTTCAGTACAGCCACAAAAAAAAAAAAAAAAAAAAATCTCTTAGTCGGGTACCAGTGACTCACATCTGTAGTCCTAGTTACTCACTCACAAAGCAGAGGTCAGGAGGATGGGGGATTCAGAGCCAGCCCAGGCAAACAGTTTGCAAGATCCTATCTCGAAAAATACCCAACACAAATAAAAGCTGATGGAATGGCTTGAGTGGCCTTGTGCCTGCCTAGCAAGTGTGAAGCCCTGAGTTCAAACTCCACTACCACTATCAAAAAAAAAAAAAAAAAAGCCGGGCAATGGTGGCTCACACCTAAAATCCCAGCTACTCAGGAGGCAGAGACCAGGAGGATCGCAGTTTGAAGTCAGCCCAGGCAAATAGTTCGAGAGACCGTATCTCAAAAAAACCCATCATACTGTTATTGCTTATACTCTCTCTACAACAAAATTAGAAATAAGGGCAAAATAGTTTCTGCTGGGTATTGGGGGTGGGGAGAGGGAGGGGGCGGAGTGGGTGGTAAGGGAGGGGGTGGGGGAAGGGGGGAGAAATGAACCAAGCCTTGTATGCATATATGAATAATAAGAGAAAGGAAAAAAAAAAACATACACCTGCATGAAATACCAAGGTGAAACCCCCTTGAACAGTTAATACACACTTAAAAAATGAAAGGCAAGAAGGTAAAACAGGTCCTTTTGAGGGTGGGGACCATGCGAAGGAGAAGGGCATAAGGAGAGGGTGCAGGAGGGTGAACATGGATGTATTTTGTAATCGTGTATGAAAATAGAACAACGAAACCTGTTTAAATTGCTCTAGGAAGAGGGAGGAGGAAGAAGGGAGAATGATGGAGGGGTGACTCTAACTAAGATATGCTGTAAGCATATGTAATGTCATAATGTATCACCTTATACAACTATTAAATGCTAATAAATTTTTTTTTAAAAAAAAAACAAACCCATCACAAAAAAGGGCTGGTGGAATGGCTTAAGGTGTAGGCCCTGAGTTCAAACCTCAGTACTGGAAAAAAAAAAAAAAAAGAAAATCCCTAAGAACCAGACTTGGGCCAAAAGCACAGAATATTTTCTATAACAGAAAAAGGCAAATATAGAACAAAAACAACAACAAACTAGAGCAGATGTGCCAATGAAAAGCCCTAGAATTCCTACATAAATATGAAAAGAACACAGTCACCATAACAGGAGGGACGTAACCATGAAAAGTCTACTATGAAAAACATATATGCTATACACTTAGAAAGACTTAGATTAGATCACAGTGTAGAATTCTACTTATTTTTTTTTTTTTTAGAATTCTACTTATGGTTAATAAAGAGAACCTCTTTATTAGTACAAGAGATTTTTTATAGCGAGACCAGTATTTACCATAGCAAAAACCAGAAACAACCTAAATATCCAACAGAACAATTTTGTAAATGACAATTTTGCTCTATGCTGGAGCGAATATCCCAGTATCTTGAATGAAAGAACATTTCAAAAGAGAGCTTTAAAATAATTCCAAAACAGCATGCTTATGGGTAGGAGGGAAAGGCAAAATTCAAAAGTAGCTATATGGCGCTGGAGATATAGCTCAGCTCAGCGGTAGAGCTCTTGCATCTTCCAGGTCCTGGGTTTGATCTCCAGTACCACAAGGGAGGAAAAATTAGATTTTTAGTACAAAAAATGCTTAGGTCTCAGATATTAAAATTTTAAAGGATAAAAAGTTACTTCGATGGCCAGATACAGTGGTGTGCACCGTAGTCTCAGCCATTTGGGAGGCTGAGGCAGGAAGATCACTTGAGTAAAGTATTTTAGGGTCAGTCTGGGCAACATAGCAAAACTCTGTCTCAAAACAAAACAAAACAAAACAAAAAGATACTCCAACTTTTTTAAAATAGCCTTAAGCAATTACAAGCCCTCCCAGGATGAGGCTGGTCAAGTTTAACCTGGGCAGTGTGAATTAATCAGAAATAGGATTTGGTTGGAGACTATGCTGTTGGTTCCAGTGCTCTGCTGTCTGATCCCAGTCATCAGGAAGCACTGTCGTTTCACAGCTAACAAGGCCACAAATGAGGAAGTCCCACCTTTTCCGCTGCTCCAGCTCCCAGTCCAGACGTGCCAGGGTCTGCTGGTGGGGGTCTCCCATTGTGACTTCAGCCTTGCTGATGTCTGATGGGGCCTCCTTATAAAACTCCTCTAAACTGACCAGATCAATTTCTTCATGCTTTGACCTATAGACAAAAACAAGAGGTCAAGCTGCTGTCCTCAGGAACCCTCATTGGCTTAAGCATGTGAAGCTGCCCCATTAATGCCCATGCAGCACTGGCCTACAGGACTCAAGATGCTAGAATCTAGTGTCAGCAAATGCTCATTGGCAGGGCTTTCAGTGTCATGAGTGGTTCTTAATGACACAGGGTTCCTTGTCTATGTCCAACATTTCTGTCCACAAGTTAGCTGAAGACCTGCAAGGATCCTTACTGAATTTACAGATGTCTTTTAGCTATTATCGATCCTACTCAAATAAAGTCAGGTGCTGGTGGCTCAAGTCTATAATCCTAGGTACTTGGGAAGCTGAGCTCGGGAGGATCACAGTTAAAGGCCACCCCAGGAAAATCGTTTGAGAGACACCATCTCCAAAAGAACCACAGCAAAAGAGACTGGAGGTGTGGTTCAGGCAGTAAGGTGCTTACTTTGCAAGAACGAAGCCTCGAGTTCAAACCCCAGTCCCACCCCCAGTTTTGAGTTCAAAAAGGAACTGCTGGGATTTTAGAGAGGAAAATTAGGCCAAAAAGTTAAAAGAATGTGACTGGAAGTGAGTTGCTTCTGTATGAGGTGCCCCACTATCAAACTGGTAAAAAAAAGGCCCCCACTGAGGAGACAGAACTGCTTTTCACCAAGAGCAGCGCTGAGAACTCAAAAGACCCAAAAAGGCTTCCTGGTTCTTTGTGCAGCCCGAAACTACTGCTTAGGAATCTCCCACTCCAAGTGACCTATTTCAGGATCTGGAAGAGCCTGCAGTTTTCCAAGCTCACTGGATTTAGTTTAAAGAGACTGGTTCCTACTGAGCCAGGGAAAAGCAGCTTCCACAGAGCAGCTGTGCCACAGCCCTGTCCTCACAAACTCACTTAAACTCTAGGCATTTGGTGATCTCCTTCTGCAGGTGCATCACCTCATACAGCAGGTTCTGTAGCTGCAGGTGATAGGCGTCTACTTTCTGCTTAGCCTGAAGGGAAGACAAGGTTGCAGGTGGTGAACAGGGTCTGGGTGGGACAAAATGTCAGCAAAATCAGAGAAGGGGCACAGGGGTCAAAAAAGAGGACTGGGAATAGTGGGGAAGAGGGTTAATTAAACCTCTCAACACCTACCTCGTGGGTCTGATCTCTTCCTTTCTTCAGCCTGATGTGGGCTAATCGGTTAAGTTTCTTTAGAGTCATAAAGTGCACACAGCTCTGGATTCTCCGTTCTTCAATTTCCACTGCCTACAGGCAGAGAAAATCATAAAGACCTCTAACAACAGGTGCTGGTTCAGCTTCCTTCAGACCCAGTGCTGGCCCAATCCCAGCCAGGGCCAAAAACAGATACTGGAGAGAGCCCAGAACCAGAAGTATCGCGAAGGAAATGCAAGGGTGACTGAATGATATACTTACATATACCCATATTTGTAACGTCAAAGGAATAGATACATACCAGTGTTTCTTAACACCTACCAAGATGCCTGCTGCTTAATAAATACTAAAGAATAATCAAATTAGAGTTATAGAAAAAATAATTATCGTGTACTTTTATTATATAATGGGTGATTGGGTGGTAATGACAACTTCTAGTAAGTTAACTGAAAGGGCTCTAGAGCCTCTAGGTTCCAGCCACCTAATCATGGTGGGGACAGAAGACCAAGATCAGATAGGGTCCAGGTAAGGGCAAAAGGAGGCGTGTCTGTGCAGACCCACCAGGTTCACCGCTGGCCTTGCGCCTTACCGCATCCTTGCCACCCCTGCTCTTCAGGTCCTGGATCTCAGCCATCAGCCTCTGAAGTTCCTGGCATGTGTACTTGTACAGCTCGTAATCTCGGCCTGGGTCCCGGAGGTCTACCTCAGCCTCCTCGCTGTAGTATCTACCTTCCTGTGGAAGCCAGGAAAGAGGCCCTAGGATGCATCTGAAATCTCAGCTAAGTAGCTGAGCACTCTCATCACATCAGAACCATAATAATAAAGCCACGAATCAGCTAAATAAAGTAACTGGTACTCAAATCGAGTGTTTTTCTTATTTTCACAATAGAAGCACCTCTCTCTCAATCCCCTTTCCTTTTTGCAGTGCTGTGGATCAAACACAGGACCTTGTGCATAATAAACAGCACTTTACCATTGAGCTACATCCCTAGTCCCTCATTTCTTCTTCCTGATTACAAAGTAATCACCACGTGCTTGGTGAAAAAGATTCAGAACACAGGAGTATCAAAAAGAAAATGAGAAATTGCCTGTAAATCATTTCCAAGCCTTAAACAATTCCATTGTGAATAGTGCAAATACTATTTTATTTTTAAGCAAGATAGGATCACACTGTCCGTGCTGTTCAGTGCAACTTCTCATCCAAATACATAAGCTCTCCATCAAAATGGCTGTCTGACAGTCCCCTACGGAAATGAGCCAGAATTTACTTAACCAAATTCCTATTTATGGTTACTTACATGGTCAAATCAACTGTTAGCAGAGACCAAAATACCATAATTGGCCTCCTAGCCTTTGCAATAGAATACATCAGATTTAAGAGTGTAATACTAGAGTACTACTACTCAGCCATAAAAGAGAGTGAGTCAGTTATCTATTCTGACAAGGTCTGAACTGGAGAACGTTACGTTGAGTGAAACAAGTGCCAGACACAGAAAGACAAATGCCATGTTCTCCCTCGTGTAAGGAAATCAGTACGCCAACCCTGCAGAAGTACAGAATGGGATAGAAGGAGAGACAAGGAAGAGTAAGGGGGAAGGGGGAACAGAAGAAATGAAGGATTTTTAGGGCCAAAAAAGTGCTGGAGGGAGAAGGGGAGGCAGGTGGCAGGCCCAGGGTAGAGCAACAGTAGATGGACGTGATGAACACACGTGTATATGACTGGAACTATCATACCAAACTCCATCCATGTGTAAAATTAATGTATCAAAAACATAAAAAAAAAAGAAAAAGATTTAAGAGTGCTGTCATCAATGCCCCCCTAAGCTTGAGTTCTTAAATCTGAGGAACACAGGCTGTTTCCTTTTCCTTGTCCTGTTATTCTTTTCATGATGTTCCTTTTTATATGTATCAAAACTCACACTGAACAATGAGTTCTGGGGGAAAGAGAATTTATTTTCTGCACCTGTTTATAAGTCTTTGTCAAATAATGAATATATCCTAATAAAAAATTTAAAAATAAAATAACAACAAATAAAATCCAGCTAATCAAAACAGCTATGTCGAACTGGTAGAGTGGCTCAAACGGTAAAAGCAAGTGTGAGGACCTGAGTTCAAATTCCAGTGTGTTGCACACAAAACAAAACAAAACCCAGCTATGTTTTGAATTACCTTGACAGATTCAAGGACAGATAAACAGACAAAAGGAAAAGGAGAACCTGCTGACCAGTCACCTGGGCAAGTAGAGGCCACCAGAAGGTTGTCTCTGGTAGATGTGACCCTGAGCTCCTGCACACCCACAAGCGGGTGTGTGGCTTGATAACTTTCACTCATCTCACCTGCTCAGTGTCAGCTCGAGTTCTCTTTCCTTCAGTTGGAGTCCCATCACTTCGGACAACTTTGGGTTTCCGTTTTTTGCTGGATTCTGATGACATGGTTGTTCCTAGAAGTCAGGAGGAAAACAACAGACAGCTGTTAAAAGAAAGTTTTTGAGATTTATTTATTTATTTTTGGTGGGACCGGGGTTTGAACTCAGGGCTTCACACTTGCATATCAGGTACTCTACCTCTTGAGCCACGCCTCCAGTCCATTTTGCTCTGGGTTTTGTTGATGAGAGGGGTCTCTCGAACTATTTACCTGGGCTGACCTTGAATCTCAAGCCTCCTGATTTCAGCCTCCAAGTAGCAAGGATTACAGCTGTGAGCCACCAGTGCCCAGCTGCTTTTGACATTTTTTCCAAAGTCAGAATTGGAAGCCAGGTACCGGTGGTTCACGCTTATAATCCCAAGCTACTAAGGAGGCAGAGATCAAGAGGATTGGGCTTTGAAGCCAGCCCTGGGGAATTAGTCTGAGACTCTATCTTAAAAAGAATCCATCAGAAAATAGGGCTGGTGGAGTGGCTCAAGAGATAAGAGCACCTGCCTAGCAAGCATGAAGCTCTGAGTTCAAACTCCAGTGTCACCAAAAAAAAGTTGGAGATTCTCCTGGAGTTAGAAAACTGAAGTCTGCCTAACAGTTCTCACCACTTCTAGTCTTGATAAATCAAGAAAAATCACTCAACTCTCCACAGCCTGCGTTTAATCCTCTGTACTACAGGGTTCGACAGGTCCTTGAGCTGTCCATCTCCTCTCCTCACCCCAGTTTGAGGATCATCTGAAGACCCTGTGTACCAATGAGCTACATTCTGGGTCCTCTGTCTTTTTGAACTCAGGGACTTGTATTTGTTAGGCAGGTACTCTAACAAAAAAAAAGCAGCCCTTTCTGCTTTTGTTACTTTTGAACAGGGTTTCACATTTATGCCTAGGTTGGTCTGGACCTCTGTCCTCTTCTTGCATAGCTGGGATGACAAGAACATGCCATCACGTTCAGCTTTTATAGGTTGAGATGGGGTCTCTCAAACTTTCTGCCCAGGCGGGCCTGGAACCATAAGCCACCTGATCTCCGTCTCCTGAGTAAGCCACTGCTAAGATTATAGGTGTGAGTCACTGCATCTGGCCCCTCCACCTTCTTTCTAAAAAGAGGTTTCACCACCCAGCCCACTGACCTCAGGATCTCTTTTAACATCTCCCTTCCCTGCCCCACTCAGACCCTGCTCCCACTCTCCACAGCAGTATCCTGCATGTTGGTACTCACCTAGCAATCCCAGGCGCCATGTTCTCCCAGCTCAACAATCTAGACCAGGTCTCCACCCTCCTCTCCACAGCTGCTCTAATACTCCTGCCCCGTAATGCTGGGTATATTTATTGTTTCTTTCTTCTTTTTCTTTTTTGTTGCAGTACTGGGGTTTGACCTCGGGCCTACACCTTGAGCCACTCCACCAGTCCTTTTTTACATTGGATGTTTTCGAGATAGGGTCTCTCGAACTATTTGCCTGGGCTGACATCAAACCACCATCCTCCTGATCTCTGCCTCCTGAGTAGCTGGGATTACAGGCGTGAGGCTCTAGTGCATGGCTATATTATTTCTTTTTAAAGACCCACTTAAATAATGACTCTCCCATTTCAAAACTTTCGCTGACTCTTTACAATAATGTACAGAAGGAAGTCTGTACTCCCAGGCCTGGTGTAAAGACCCATACCCTCAGCCCACCTTACCAACACTTCTTGCATTTCTATGGCTATGAATTTTTTCCCCTGCCTCTGACCTCTACTCCTTGCTTCACCTGTACATAGCACTCCCACTTTCTAAATCATACTCTAGAGAATATTCTAGATCCTTTAAGACTAAGTGATGCTCACTTGCTATGGGAAGCCCCCTAGGAGTTCCTTTAGGTGCTGTGAATAAACTATTAGGAAATTTGCCTTTGAACCGTTTGAACCTGTCTTCCTGCCTAGATTGTGAGTTTGGTAAAGTCCTCCATAAATTTACATCAAATTCCTGTATGGGACACAAGCCTATTTCCAATATGTAGCCTATTTCACGGTGTAGGTGGGCCTCGATCTAAGCACTTTTAGCTATGTTCCCATTTGATTTTTATCACAAACTACCATTTTGCAGATGAGAAAACTGAGGCCCAGAAAGGCAAATGACCTGCCCAAGGTCACATAGTATGCTAAAACTTGGTCCATGTGATGCCACACCAATGTTCTTGACAAATATTGACCCTCCTAGTCTTCCCAGAAGTTCATCTGATGTCACACTGACTACCTGCTTGACCCTAAAATTTAAAAATAGAATCTACATTTCATGGAGCTCCATGATCACAAAACACCCTCCCTGGCAACTGCTTGGTCATCACCACAGCCCCCTGAGGTGAGCAGCACTGTCCCCTTCACCCAAGCAATTTGTCACTAACACTTTTGCAGGAACCAACAACATGGTGTGGTGGAGATGGAGTCCTGAGTTGGAACCTCCACTTCTCCTATTTTATGGCTTTGAGTCCTGGAACAACTCACTTCTCTTCCCTCTGGGTGTGTTTCCTTATAAATCGTATGAGAGTTACAAACCCTACCTCAGGGACTGTAGGGGACATTAACACAGGAGGCACCCTCCTAGTGAAGGTGATGAACAGAAAGTGGCACGGGGCTTCAGATACTTCGTGGGTGATCTTCCAAAGTGTTAATATACTTGGGGAGAAAGTTAATCTCACTCCTCCACTTTATTTATTTTTATTTTTTTGGTGGGACTGGAGTTTGAACTCGGAGCTTCACACTTGCAAAACAGGCGCTCTACCACTTGAGCCCCACCTCCAGTCCCTTCTGCTCTGATTATTGTGGAGATGGAGGTCTCACAAATTATTTATTTGCCTGAACTGTCTTTGAACTTCGATCCTCCTGATCTCAGCCTCCCAAGTGCTGGAGTTACAGACATACACCACCATCCATGCCCAGCTAACCATTTTCTTGGGCTTTTTTTTTGCAACTTCTGATTGCATCCAAGAACTTCCCAGATGGGCTGGGGAAAGTGGCTCAAGTGCAGGCAAGAACTGCAAACAAAAATCCCAGTTCCCCAATTTCTCTTTAACATCTGCAGATGCCAAAGTTCCTTTGGCAAGGAAGCCTCAATGAAACCTAGGCAGCATTTGTTAACAACGGTCTATTTTCGTTACATTAAATATTTTATGGTAGAGAGATCTGAAGTTTTTTCTACAAGTACATTTAAAAAGTAGCTAGGGCTGGGGATGTAACTCAATGGTGGAGCATTTGCCTAGCATGCATGAACCCCAGGGTTGATCCCATAGCACCCACTAAAATAAACTGACTGAATTAAAAACCGTTCTACAAGCCAGGTGCAGTGGCTCACGCCTGTAATACTAGCTACTTGTAAGGCTGAGATCAGGAGGATCCAGGTTCAAGGCCAGCCCAGGCAAATAGCTCCAGAGCCCTCCCCCGCCCCATCTCCCAAATAACCAGCGCAAAATGGACTGGAGGTGAGGCTCAAGTGGTAGAGCGCCTGATTTGCATGTGAGAACCCCTGAGTTCCAAACCCCAGTCCCATCAAAAAAATACAGTTGTACAGTGGTAAACTGATCTGGCAAACCCCCAAAGTGGGACCCGAAAGGCTGACGTGCAGGAAATCCCAATTTGACAGCACACAGTAAATGTGAGCCGTTACCACCACCTCTACCATTATCCTCACCAGGATAACGTGGGGCCAGAGGATGCCGCGGCCAGTGTTTCCCACATAAGGAATCGGCGCTCACCGCAGCCCAGGTGCGCCCTACAGGAAGTTCGCACCTCGGCCCCGGAACACCCCACCCCATCCCAAAGCGCCGCAGAGCCGGGTCACCCCGCCCGCTCCTCACCACAAGCTCCGCACACTGTCCCGGGGCACCCAGCGAGCTGCTTCCGGCAGCGGCCCAGGAACCATAGAGAAGCGGAAGGCAGGAAAGAGTGGCGCGCCGGAAGTGAGGCGCGGGGACCGGAAGTGAGGCGCGGAGGCCGGAAGTGAGGCTCGGTGATCGCGGAGAGCTGTTGATCCATACTGCGTGGGAAGCAAAGAAATGGGAATCCAAGGCTATTTGAAGCCTCGTTCACTTTCCCCAGCTCGTAAAGCGGCGCCCAGCAGCTATTGGGTGTCCCGCGAAGTTGAGTGAATTGGGCAGCGCCAAAATGTGGCCCTCCAGAAACCGGCTGCTTTTTTCGCACGCTATCCTAGCCACCGTAGCGCGCCATACCAATGAAGGCAGCAAGTCGGAGACGGTACGACCTCATTACATACTTGTTCATTGCACAAGTCCATCACCCTTTTCTCCAAGTTGGGTCTGATTTGCCCAGGACAAAAACCGCAGCTCTTTACGGTATCGGAAAACTTCCAAGCGTTTCCTACCCCTGGCAGGAATTGTAAGACAGGTGCCAGGATGTCTGGGTCTAGAAACACTCGTATCCTGAATGCCCGGTTATGCAGAGATAGTTCCTTGTGTTACCCTGGGATCCTCACCAGGGACTCCGAAAGCTCAGGAACCCAATACCCCCTTGGGGTGCGGGTGGGGGTGTGTGGCAGATCAGCCAGATAGAACTAGGAAGCTGCCCAGCGGTGCTCTGCCCTGCCCTGCCCTGGTCACCTGCCAAGGTTCCTTGCAGATGAAGAAGACACCGACATTTATAGTAAATATTTAATTAGTTCCATCAGCAACTCCAGCACGTTTTCCCTATAGGGAGGCAGAATCAAGCTACCCAGGAGTTCATGAGGTATGGGGGTCACTGAGGAGACTCCCAGAATCACTGACCCCACTCCACAGACCTGATAACTCTGGAAAATGAGGGTCTGGCCGACAGGATGTCAAGTGGATGAGAAGGAATGCAGGGTGAGCAAAATACAGGCCCTGGCCCCTATTTTTGCCTGTAGGAAGGAGGGAGGACAGGAGAAGGCTTGCAACTATATTTTCAAGTTCTCCCCATTATGTAGGGAGAAACTCCATTCGTCTAGTATTGGGACTCCCCAGGGTCTCTGGTGACCTCTGTTCTGTCCTCTAATTCTGTATTCCAAATTCTGCAGTTCAAACCTAACTTCTGAATTCTAAGTTCTAGTGTTTGAGTTCTTGTTCCATGTCTGTCTCCTGCTCCCTCATCCTTCCTGTTCCCACCCCTTTTCCTAGCCTCTCCGGATAGAATTCTAGATCTCCTTCTGACCTTGCTAATTTGAGGATTTCTGACAGTTCCGGGCTTTTCCCCAGTGGGAGAGACTTGGCTCAGACTTGCATGTCTAGCATGTGTGTGGTCCAGGAAATGGTCTGACTTCTTCCCTTCCCACCCCAACTAAAACTACTAGTCACCCTCCCTTTTGTGCAACTAAGCCATGTCCATGGTAATAATAGGTCTGGTGGCCTTGCTGTGAGGACTCTTAAGGGAAAATTGGATAAGACTTAAAAGGCTTGAGAGAAATTAGAAACTACTAGCAGGGGGAGAAGGTTGCAGTGGGAAGGGTCTCGACAGAGCTGGAAGTCCTCAGAACCTTGTCATCTTTGTGTGAGCTGAGTACCACTCTTCAGAGTCCTCCCAGAGCCTAGAGAAAAGCAAAACAGCAGGCCCAGGAACTCTCTGTCCCCGGCTGCCATGAGGGAGAAGGGGAAGGAGGGCGAGGTATCACTGGAGAGGTGAAATCTTTAAGGGGATCATGATCCGAGACTCCATGTGTCGCACCAAGGGGACTGTGAAGAGAGAGGCAGAAGTCACAAACAGGGCTGAGGGCAGCCAAGAACCCCCCCCACCCCGACCACCACCAAATATACACACGCACACAGAAGCCTCTGAAGGGAGAGGAGCCCCAGATGCTCAGAGAGGAAAGCCCCATTGCTCTCCTAGAAGGATTTATGGCCATTCCAGGCTTTTCCCCAGCAGGGAACAACCACGGAGACCATCAGGTCTCCAAAATTGTGGCAGAAGACAGGACTTGGTGAGGATGAGATAAACATTTTTCAAAAACTTATTTAGTTATCTCTTCAACAAAATCGGAGAATAAGTGAGGAGGTGACCCAAACAATGTATACACATGTGAGTAAACGTAAAAATGATAAAATTAAATAAATAAATAAATAAATAAATTTATTTAGCCAGGCACTAGTGGCTTTCTGCCTCCTAGCTACTCAGGAGGCAGAGATCAGGAGGATCGTGGTTTGAAGCCAGCCCAGGCAAATAGTTCACAACACTCTATCTTGAAAAAAAAAAAAAATCACAAAAAAGAGCTGGCAGAGTGGCTTAAAGTGGTAGAATTATCTTCCTAGCAAGTGTGAGGCAAACCCCAGTACCGCCAGAAAAACCCAACCTTATTTATATATGTAAAAAACCTAACATGGGAGGGAGTTAACCTCAGTCCTACAGCACTTGACTACTGTGTGAGGCTCTGTGTTCCATCCACAGCACCACAAAAACAAAACTAGCAAAAAGTAAAAATCGATTTCACAAGCTGGGCGAGGTGGCTCACGCCTGTAATCCCTGCTACTTGGGAGGCTGAGGTCGGGAGGATCAAGGTTCCAGGCCAGCCCAGGCAAATAGTTCGTGAAACCCCATCTCCAAAATAACCAGAGCAAAATGGATGGGAGGCATGGCTCAAGTGGTAGAGCACCTGCTTTGCAAGCTCAAAGCCCCGAGTTCAAACCCCAGACCTGCAAAAAAAAAAAGTGCAGGTTCTGATTCAGTAGGTTGACTGGGCATTTCTAACAAGTGCCCAGGACTGCCCATCTGTCAACTGGGGCCACTCTTTGACTAGCAAGGCTGGAGCTCCCTCCTTCAGCAGACATGTTCCCCTCACACCAACTAGAAGTGGGGAAGCCTTACCAGAAACTCAACAATGGCCCAGACAGGCTCTTATTTATCTGTGTGTCCCCAACCACTACCCTACCACCACAGGCCCACACAAAGTGAGGGCCTAGTCACCTATGGACTCCAGGTGGTCCTCTAGGCTTCTAGCAAAGTGGCAATGCCATATGGAAAAAAAAAAAAAAATTGCTAGTAAAATCTGGGCTAGGTGTGGTAACACAACCCTGTAATCCCAGCTATTCAGGAGGTGCCAGCCTGGATAACAGTTAGCAAGACCCTATCTGAAAAACAAACTAAAAGCAAACTAAAAGGACTGGGGTATGGCTGAGGCCCTGAGTTCAAACCCCAGTGTCACCAAAACAAAACAAAGCCACACAATAACTCTATGCCAGAGCAGAGCAAATCACTTTGTGTAAAGGACTTGTGAAGTCCTCCCCACGTTTGTCTGAGGGACGCAGCAGCTCCATCACCATCTCACAGATAAGGAGTCAGCCAGGTGCAGAATGGTGCCCAAGATGGCGGTGGGAATTCAGCACTCCACATCCCAAAGGCAGGGACTGCCTGGCTGTATTATGGGTCCCTGACAGCATTCACTTGGGAATGCTGTACCATGTGAAATGTGCCACCAGGAAAGAAGAACACTAACTCTTCTTAAAGTGAGTGCCCAGCCAGGCACAATGACTCACACCTGTAGTCTCAGCTACTCAAGAGGCTGAAGCAAGAGGATTGCTTGAACCTAGGAGTTTGAACAAGCCTAGGTAACATAGCAAGACCCTGTCTCAAAAAAAGAAAAAAAACTCAAAACATGGGGGTCAGGTGCAGAGGTACATGCCTGTAAATCCAACTACAGGAGGTGGAGATCAGGAGTTTCACAGACCAAGTCCAGCCTGGGTAAATAGTGAAGCCCCCATCTCAACAAACAAGCCAAGTGTGATGGTTCACAGCTGTAATCCCAACTATGTGGGAGGTATAGGTAAGAGGATCTTGGTCTGAGGCTGGTCCCAGGCAAAAACACAAGATCCTACCTGAAAAATATCTAAAGCAAAAAATGGCTAGGGGAGTGGCTTGAGTAATAGAGTGCCTGCCTTGAAAGGGCAAGGCTCTGAGTTTAAATCCAACACCACCAAAACAACAAAAGAGTTGAATTCCCTGTCACTGGAGGTAATCAAGTGAGGCTAGCTCTCCTTGCAAGGGGATTCCATCGCCATCAAATGACCCCAAAGGCGTTGCCCACCCCCAGAGGTGCTCACCTGTATAGTACACATTTTCATCCCAGCCCCTCTTCCTCCAGGCAGCATTTCGAGTCTCCTCCCGAGACTGCAGGTCCTTATAGGCTGTGGGAAAGGCACAGGCTCATTCCTGAGGCACAAAGGATCTGATGATCCCCTGCCCAGTACAGGGTCCTCTTCCTCTGCCCCAAACCTGCTCTGCTGTCTCTTCCTCCCCAGATGCCTCCCTTGGATTGTCAGCAAGCACTGTCTGCTTTGTCAATCTCAGCCAGTCACAGGTAATTTCAGGTGATTACAAATACTATTTATAGAAAAGAGGCAGGGAGAGATGACAGAAAAAAACTTCATCTCTGAGGGGGTTAGATGTAAGCTCAGAGGTAAAGAAGGGGCCAGATGTGAACTGCTGAAGAAAAGCATTCCAAGCAAAGAGAAGAGCAAGTGCAAAGGCCCTGTGGTGGGGAAAGGCCTTTGGGGTATTGAAGAATATGCATAGGTTGACAACTCCTACATTTCTATTCTCAGCCCCAAACTCTCATGCAGACTTCCACCTCATATATGCAGTGCCCAGGTGACATCTCCACTTGGACATGTCAGCAGCCCAAGTACAACACTCCTGACCCCTCCAGCCTGCTCCTCCCCTAGACCTCTCAGTCTTGGTAAATGACACACAGCTTGGAGGAGCCTGGGAGCGCTGCTGGAATCCTCTTCTCCCTCGTCCCCTGCAGAGGATTCATTCTCAGCTACCATTGGTTTAATGTCAAGGTTAATGAATCTGTTTTAGCACTGGCACTACCTGAGACCATGCCCCCCACCCTTGCCTGCTTGACTTCAGCTGGTGTAAGCTATGATACCCAGCTTGCTTGCTCTCTCTCTCTCTCTCTGTGATTTTTCTTTATCTTTGCAGTACTGGGATTTGAACTCAGGGCCTCATGCTTGCCAGGCAGCCACTCTGCCTCTTGAGCTCCAGCCATCCAACTTCCTCTCTTGCTCCCCTAGTAAGCACTCTCTATAAGGCAAATCAGAGGAGTCATAATACTGATTCCACTTCCCACTACATTTATGGTAAAATACCAGACCATCCCATAGCCTGACCTGGTGTCTGTCTCCCTCTCCTATCACATTTCCTTAAGCTTTTCCCCTTTCCCTCCACATGGGCCTCCTTTCCATACCTCAAAACCCCAAAGGCTTTCCCCCTGCCTCAGGACCTTTGCACTTGCTCTTTTCTCCATTTGCAATGCCTTTCCCAACCAAGTCTCAGCTGGCTTCTTTTCATCCTTTAGCTCTAAGCTTACATTTTACCTCAAGAGAGGTTTTCTTTGTCTACCAAAGCCAGTGTAGGACCACCATGTTTTTTCTATCCTTCTCCCTGCCTTTTTTCTACACTATCTGTAATAATCTGAAATAAGTCATTTTTGCTAGTTTGTGTCTCCCTCTGCTAGAACATAAGTTCCATGAAGGCACTAATATGTTCCCATTGTTTACAGAGTGACAACAGAGAAAAGGGACAAAGGGCTTCCAGAAGGTCCCCAACCTACCCCAAAGATGGTGCACAACGTAGAGCTCCCCTATCTGTGAGAAGAAGCCACCCACTGCCTCCTGGTTTTCCTGCCGGTACTTGATAGCCCGAGCCCTGGAGATGACAGAGAACACTGAAGCAGAGGCCAGGCCCTGAGACCGACTCAGACCACACCTCCCAGGAGGGGTCTGAGATGGGGCCCGAACTCTCAGACCCGCTGGAGGCGCCACTGCTGACTGGTGTTGGCCTTTCTTCCCTAGGAGGTCTGAATCTGCAGGTTGGTCCAGAGGCAAAGGGTGGAAAGTGCTCCCCCTACCCAGGGGCCATATGGGTAAGAGCACAGGTTCCCTCACACCTCCAGCCCTGGAGCTACTACTCACCAGTTGTTCCCCCACTCGATCATGGTTCCTGGCTGAAAGAGAACCAGAGAGAAGGAGTGAGCCTCCACCTTGAACTTTTTTTTTTTTTTTTTGTAGTACTGGGGTTTGAACTCAGGGCCTTCACCTTGAGCTACTCCACCAGCCCTATTTTTGTGATGGGTTTTTCAAGATAGGGTCTTGCAAACTATTTGCCTGAGTTGGCTCTGAACCACGATCCTTGTGATCTCTGCCTCCTGAGTAGCTAGGATTACAGCCGTCAGCCACTGGCGCCTGTCCTCACCTGTCCTGATCCTCAGCTGTCTTATACCTCAGCTCCAGAGGCCTCAATCATGAGCCCTGACTCACAGCTCGTATGCAGGTGTGCACACGAGTGTACACACCTACTGTGAGCCCATAGGGATGGAAGGACAGAAGCCCAGTCAGGGGCTAGCACACAGAGCCTGCCCACCTCAGGGCACCTACCAAGCAGCATAGTAGCAGGGAAGGTGGGAGGCAGGAGGGGTTCTATCAGGAGGGAGGCACCTTGAGCTTGTATGTCCTCAGCTCATAGATGTTGGGGCCGACTCTGGGCTGTGGCTCATTCCAGAAGCTGAACTCCAGAAGCAACTGGTTTCTTCTGGACAGCAGCATCTGGCTCCGTTCCTTCCGGAACTCCAGGTACTCCTGTGGGCCGGGAAGTGTGGGCACAGGGCTCAGGAAGTGACATCCCTGCTGGCAGGGAGCCCCATGGGGAAGCAGAAGGGCCCCTGGATCAGGGCTGGGCTGGGAGTGACATCCAGAGGGGAGCCAGTGGACGCTGTCATACCTTGTTATTTTTGAGCTTGTTCATGCAGTCCATGAGAGCTGGGTAGCCGCCTGAGAATCGCCACAGGTGCACTGTTGGATGGGGGTGCAGGTCAGGGGGCTGCCGGGACCCTGCCTGGTTTCCCACAAGGCTCATTCCTTGTAGTACCAGGTCTCTCTGAGTTCCCTTTGCCTGGGTAGGGAGGGGTGCTGGGGTGGGAATGACCACCAGATCCAAGTTCAGGAGACCTGGACTTGAGCTCCAGCTCTGTATTGTGGCCTCTGACCCCTCCAACATCCTCTCCTCATGGAAATTGGGACAATACTCCCACCCACCCTTCCTTAAATAGCAGTAATAAGATCAGATGGGGGTGGAGTACAGCTTCAGAATAGAGTGTGCTTAGCAGCTCAAGGGCTGGGTTTTAATCCCCAGCACTGCAAAGATAATCAGGTGTGTACTTTGCCCTGGGAACAATGGCAGGTACAAGAATGACCACCAAGCCTGTGAGCAACAGGCTGGACATGAGAAGGGGTAGGTCTGATGGGCTGATATAGAACATTCCAAGGCATTGAATTTAAAAAAGAAAGAGAGAAAGAAAGAAAGGAAGGAAGGGAGGGAGGGAGGGAAGGAAAGAAAGAAGGGAGGAAGGGAGCAAGGAAGGGAGGGAGGGAGGGAGGAAGGAAGGAGGGAGGAAGGAAGGGAGGAAGGGAGGAAAGGAGGAAGGAAGGAGGGAGGGAGGAAGGGAGGAAGGAAGGGAGGGAGGAAGGGAGGAAAGGAGGAAGGAAGGAGGGAAGAAGGAAGGAGGGAGGAAGGAAGGGAGGAAGGGAGGAAAGGAGGAAGGAAGGAGGGAGGGAGGAAGGGAGGAAGGAAGGGAGGGAGGAAGGGAGGAAAGGAGGAAGGAAGGAGGGAAGAAGGAAGGAGGGAGGGAGAAAGGAAGGAAGGAAGGAAGGAGGAAGGGAGGGAGGAAGGAAGGAAGGGAGGAGGAAGGAAGGAGGGAGGACAGAAGGAAGGAAGGAAGGAGGGAGGGAGGAAGGAAGGAGGGAGGGAGGGAGGAAGGAAGGAAAGAGGGAGGAAGGAAGGAAGGGGCCATAGCTGAGCATGGTGGCATGCACCTGTAGTCCCAGCTACTCAAAAGGTTACAGAAGGATCCCTTGAGCCCAGGAGTTCAAGTTCAAGGTCAGTCTAGGCAAGATTGTGAGACCCCAATCTTAAAAAAGGAAAAAAAAGAACAAAAGAAAGAAGAAAGACAACCAAGGACCAGAAAAAAGAAATAAGCAATCGAGGGACGGGTGAGCATGCAGGGAACTGCATAAAGTGTGTTTAGGGATGGGGAGGGTGTGTTCAAGGACAGTGACCTTCCCATCAGCTCTTGATGGTGATCTACTGTCGATGCCCTGGGGGCAGAGAAGTGGGGCTTTAATTTTCTCTAAGAACTCTGTACTGTTAGGATCGTTTTACATCCATGTTCTCTATACTGGATTGAATAGTGTTCCCTCAGAATTCACGGCCAGCCAGAACCCCAGAATGTGGTCTCATTTGTAGGTAGAATCAAGTTAAGATGAGACCGTGCTGGGTGGACCCTCAGCCTAATGTCTGATGTCCTTGTCAGAAGACTGAGATCTGGACACAAAGAGTTACTCACTGTGACTCAGAGGCAGAGATCAGGGTGATGTCCACACGAAAGGAACGCCAGTAATTTCTGGCAACCACCAGAAACTAGAAGAGGCAAGGAAGCCTGGGGGCCTCATGGGGAGCGTGGCCTGGCAGCACCTTGATTTTTAACCTCTGGCCTCCACGGCAATGAGAAAACACTTTTCTGTTTTACGCCACTTGGTTTGTGGTGTTTTACTGAGGACACCTGCCCTGCCTCCCAATAATAAAGACACCCCGTAGCTGGGCACGTTGATTAAGGATCCCTCCTGTAATCTTAGCCACTCAGGAGGCAGAGTGCAGGAGGATCACAGTTCAAAGCCAGTATAGGGTAAGACCCTGTCTCAAAAAAACCCATCACAAAAAAAGGGCTGGTGGAGTGATTCAAGGTGTAGGCCCTGAGTTCAAGCCCCAGTATCGCCAAAATAAATAAAGACACCACATGCCTACCATGGGCAAAGCCCTGCTTTCGAGCCCCATCATGAAGAAAAAGAAACAGAAAAAGAAGGAAGGAAGGGAAGGGAAGGAAGGGAACCAGGGAGAAGAAAGATACCATTTTGCAGTCCTGGGAGCACAGCTGGGACTGTCAGGGAGGAAGGCCCCCAAAAGTCAACGAGGCAGGCAAGAGCTGAGTGCAGTTGGCTAAACAGTGTTTGGAAACTCAGGCTCTGTTACTTTCCATCCCCACTCATCCCTCACCTTCCTTCTTATTTTTACCTGTGCCTTGATTTTCCATCTGCAAAATGGCCTTCTTTACCATGTGGTTTAAAAGGCTCATTCCCAGGGGAAATAGCCAATTATGCAGGATGGAAATCTACCCAAACCATGGGAAACCAGGAATGCTGACCTGTGAAAAAGGATCCAACCTAACACTGCAGACCAACAGCATCACAGGCCAAGGAAGAATTTTCTAACAATCACAGTGACCCCTACACATGATGGATCCATGGCTCTGTTTACAAGTTTATTAAAATATAGGTTCCTAAGCTGGGCATGGTGGTTCACACCTATAATCCTAGCTGCTTGGGAGGCTGAGATCAGGAGGATCACAGATAGGTACCAGGTCTGGCAAATAGTTTGTGAGACCTCCCCTTCTCCAAAATAACCACAGCAAAATGGACCAGAGGTGTGGCTCAAGCAGTAGAGCACCTGCTTTGTAAATGCAAAGCCCTGAGTTCAAAATCAAATCCCACCAAAAAGTAAAATAAAATGTAGATTCCTGAGCCTTGCTCCTAGGGTATGGCTCAAAGGGACTCTTCCTGCAGCTGACTCTGCATGGGGAGGCTAAACTTCAAGACACAAAAATGTAGGAAATACATTGTAAGTCAAGTACTACACAATTTTTTTTTTTTTTTGAGACAGGTCTCACTCCTCCCAGACTGTCAATCCTCCTGCCTTGGCCTCCTGAATGCTAGGACTGTATGTGTGCTCCACCATGCCTGGCTCAACCAAACACTTAAGAGAATCCAAGTACTTCCAGTTGATCGAGTTACGCTAAAACCAGGAAAACCATAGTGGCCGAAAGTAAAGGCAATTTGTTTTTCTCTTATTGCTTCATCAGTATGTTAATGTCTAGTACTAAAACAGTCAGTGGTAGACATCTCGCTATCTCTTTGGAGGTCACAGGTTTTTATTTATTTTTTGGGAGGTGGGGAGAAGTATTGGGGTTTGTACTGAGGACTTTGTGCTTGCTAAGCAGGTGCTGTATTGCTTCAGACACACCACCAGCCCAGATTTTTTTTTTTTAAAGACACACTGATCAGGGCTGTGAAAAGATGAGACAGGCTGGGCTGTGAGGTAGTGAGCTCCCCACTGCCTGGAGTGTGCAAGGGAAGTTTAGAGGACTGTCTGTGAAGGCTTGTTACACAGACAGTCTAAACCAGTCCCCGAGGACTTTCTACTACAATGGAATTGTTCTAGAACTGTGCATATGACAAGGGCAAGCCTGCCACTGGGCACCTGAAATAGGACTGTGGTGACTGAGGAGATGGATTTTTAGGATGTCTCTCTCTTTTTCTATTTTTTGGCAGTATGGGATTTGAACTCAGGGCTTAGCATTTGCTAGGCAGATGTTCTATTGCTTGAGCCATGCCTTCAACTGGATTTTTATTATTTACTTATTTATTTATTTTGGTACTGGGGCTTAAACTCAGGACCTATACCTTGAGCCACTCCACCAGCCCTTTCTCGTGATGGGTCTTTATCCAGCTAAAACTATTTGCCCTGGGGTGGCTTCGAACCGCAGTCCTCCTGATCTCTGCTTCCTGTGTAGCTAGGATTATTCAATTTTAATTAAGATAAATTTAAATAGCTTCTTGTGGCTAGTGGCTACCATCTTGGACTAAAAGAGGCTTTAGTCTAAATGCCAAGACCCCTTTAGGTGGCTGAGATGCTATAAGTCAACCAAATTTGCGTGGAGGTCCTAGCAGCTGGGCATGTGGGGTGGGATGGGACTTGTTGGAGGCACCCCTGGAAAGTTGCATGGAACCAGCTGATTCCACAGATAAGTGCTGCATACTGGGGGTTCAGTGGTGAAGACAGGCATGGGCCTTCACCCCCAGGACTCACCACCTTCATGGGGAAACAGGTAAGTATACACCTTACAGGCCGCTATAGGGTGTGAGAACAGGGCATGAGGAAGCACGTACTAGGAGCTGGAGAGCCTGGTGCCTGACCCAGCATGGAAGGGGAAAAGCCAGGTTGGCCTCCAGGAAGAGGTGATGTCTGTGCCTAAATAAAAGACAAGAAACATTCCAGCACTTGGAAGGCAGAAGCAGGAGGATCATGAGTTTGAAGTTAGCCTGGGCTACATAGCAAGACTCTCTCAAAAAAACTAAACCAGCAAAAAAAGATAGGCTCATACCTGTAATCTTAGCTATTTAGGAAGCTGAGATCAGGAGAATTCGAGGCCAGCCCAAGCAAAGAGTTATTGAGATCCCATCTCCAAAATAACCAGAGTAAAATGGACTGGAGATGTGGCTCAAGAGGTAGAGTGTCTGATATGCAAGTGTGAAGCCCTGAGTTCAAACCCTGGTCCCACTAAAAAAAAAAAGTGAACCAGCAAAGCAGACCAAGGAAGAAAGAATGCTTCAGATAGAGGAAAGAGTGTGAATGACAGCTCTGTACTAGAGGGGAACTGATGAATCCTGGGCAGGATGGCACAGTGACCAAAGGATGTGGCAAGGTGAGGCTGCAGACTGGGCAGGGAAGGACTCACAGGCCTCTTGGACCACCTGAGGGTACAGGGGAGCCATGACAAGTACAGGGGAGTGAGGCAACAGGTGTGCATTTAGGCCCCCACACATACACCAGCTGTCATGGAGGGAGTACAGGGCAGCCAGAAGGGAGAGGACTTGGAGGTTTGGGCTGGGCTGGGCAGTGGCCCTAGAGAGACAGGCTCCTCACCTGCCTGGTCCTGCTCCCCGTACCATGTGTTCCAGTTGCCCACGAGCGAGCAGGGATAGTCCTCATCCAGGTGCAGCTGGGGTAGCACGGCCTCCCTGTGGGAGGGACATGGAGGGGGACAGGGCTCACACTAGCCACAGGGCCCCTGAACTAAGGATTCCAAGTCAGGTCCCCAGGGCTGGGCCCCAACTCCAAAAGGCACAAGTAAACAAGATACCCTTAGACTTCTGAAATCTATATCCCTTAGGCTTCAGCAAGCAGAATGAGGGTGTTCTGAGGACTTCTGGGATAGGATCCCCTCCCCCCACAAGCAGCAGCTAGGACAGGCAAAGGGAGGAGGGTGCTCACGTCAGACTGTTGTAGGCATCCAGACACTCTGGCTTCACGTTGTGAACTGCAACAGAGGACAGAGAGCGGGAAATAAAGCAGGGTGTGCATGCGTGCAGGTGGAGTCAGTATGGAAGGACTCCATGGGGTCAGGGCTCCCAGGACAGCACAAGATGTCCCCAACTCTCTCATTCCCGTGCAGTGGTGGGGCCCAGCAGCCACTTACACTGGATCTTGTAGAGGTTACTGGTCTCCTTCTTGGACAGCAGGGTGGAGTGGGCATCCTTCCGAGGATCCACCTTGTGGACGAAGAGGGAGCGGAACCAGCTGCCTTCACTGTCCTTGGAGTAGGAACTGCAGGACAAAAGAGTTCAGGGAGACACACCCAGGGGCAGGGGGATCCCCAGCAATTCTGACTCTCAGCTGTCCTGCTTCTCCAGGGCTGCCGGCCTTCATTTCTGGAAATAGGGCCACAGAATCCCATGACAGCTTCAGAGTGTGACATGCCATCAGGAGGGCAGATGTGGTCCCTTCTACAGATTGTGGCCTGGTTTGTGTCTTGAAGCTCTGTAGGACCTAGGAGGCCAGGAGAGGTAGCCCCATATCCTACATTTGTCCAGCCCTGTCTCCACTTCACCAGCTTTCTAAACCACTTTACCAGGTCGGACCACATGTCTGCAACCTCTTGCCAAGAGTCTCAACCCCCAAACCTATCTTAATTGATGACCAAAGCCCTTCCCAACCCAACCTGTCTCACCAGTCTTCTCTTCCAGATCCCCAACCCTGGGGTACCCCATTCTCCAGGAACATGGTATGTTCCTCCTGTGAACATACCATGCTTTTTTTGGTCATACGGGTTTTGAATCCAGGGCCTTGCACTTGCTAGGTAGGTGCTCTACCACTCGAGCCACACCACCAGCCCCACACCGGGCTTTTATGCTGTGCTTTCTTTACAAGTTCTATACCCTCTGACAGGAAGGCTGTACTCACTGTCTTCCCCAGAGCTCATACTGTACTTAACCTGTGCCCCCTCCTAGACCCCACAAACAGCCAGCCAAACTCAAATAAGCCTTGTCCTTGAGGAAGTCAGACTCCACTGGAAGACGTGGACTTGGAACACAATTATAGCCAGGGTCCCTGGTACAGCCCAACTGGGCGAGTCTTGACTTTGCTTCTGGTATCTGCGCCGTGAGGTGAGCCGGGCAGACTCAGGCTGAAGTGGGAGACTGAGGCAGAGGAGTGTAAAAGGCATCACAGGGCAAGGTATATTCATTCATTTGTTCACTCACTCACTCATCCAGCCACCACTTGCCCTGTCCACCTGGACAGGGTGCTGTAAGAAGCAGCAAGTCAACAAACACCACTAAGTGCTTTGCCTATGAGACCTTAGTGCAGGACCTGGCACCAGGTCCTGCCAGACCCAGACTGTAAACCCTGTCCCCCACCCCCTATATAGAGGTCCTAGCAGGGGCAGAGCTTATTTTTGAGGCTGTCAATCCTCTCTCCCCACAGCTTTAGGGGTGGCTCAAAAGTCACCCCTAAAGGTCTGAAAAGCAAAAGTCTGCTGAGAGAATTCTTGGCAGTGTTGGCAAGCCCTCTCCCTTTACGAGCTTTTTCTGTGGATGGAAATGTCTTGCAAATAAAAGCATTACTTTCTTCCAAAATACGGGGCAGCTGCTGGGACTGATTGAAATAAAAAAATCATTTATAAGTGTGGCTCAGTGGGACAGCACGCATGAAGCCTGGGTTCAATTCCTAGCACCAAATAAAATAGGGCTGGGAGCGTGGCTCGAGTGGTAGAGCGCCTACCTTGTAAGCATGAGGCCCTGAGTTCAAACCCCAGTACTGCCAATAAAATAAAATAAAATATAACAAAAAATCATCTTATAAACCAAGCACCAGTGGATCATGCTTGTAATCCCAACCACTCAGGAGGCAGAGATCAGGAGGATCACAGTTTGAAGCCAGCCCTGGCATATAGTTCCAGAGACCCTATCTCAAAAAACCCTTCACACACACACACACACACAAAATAGGGCTGGTGGAGTGGCTCAAGGTGTAGCCCCTGAGTTCAAACCCTAGTACCACAGACACACAAAAAAGTCCTCTTGTAGTGGTGATATGTTTGTGTGAGCATAGAGAAAGATGAGAAATGATTTGTCCCAAGCTGAGCCCCTCCTTATTGGTAAGGGACATATTGCAAGACCCTCAGTAGATGTCTGAACCCTATATAAATGTGTTTTTTCCTTGATGTACCTAGGACAAACTTTAAATTGTAAGTTAGGCACAGTAAGAAATTAGCAACTAAGGCTGGTGGTTTATGTCTGCAATCCTAGCTACTTGGGGAGCTGAGATCAGGCGGATGAAGGTTCAGGGCCAGCCCAGGCAAACAGTTCTCAAGACCCCCATCTCCAAAATAACCAGAGCAAAATGGACTGGAGGGCCACTGTGGGGCTCAAGAGGCAGAGTGCCTGCTTTGCAAGTGCAAAACTCTTAGTTCAAACTCCAGTCCCACCAAAAAAAAAAACAAAACAACTAATAAACTAAAACAGTTTTAACAATATTCTATAATAAAATGGATGTTTATTTCTGGACTTTTCCATTTCATATTTTCTGACCACAGTTGACAGCAGGTAACTGAAATCAGAGTAAAGGAAGACCCTGCTACTGTACTGCTTCCTCAGGACAAAGGAGAGGCAGGTGGTTACATTTCTTTATATTACAAGTTTTTATAATACTTTTGTAATGGCTTAAGCATTTCTGAATTCATGGGTTCTTTCGATCACTATGTATACCTCTGTTTTATTAGAAAAAGATAATTCCGTGAGATAAACATACAACATTAGGAAGCCTCTGAGCCAGGACTCCGCTGTGAACTTCTCAGGTGCAGAATCTCACTGAGTCACTGCAATGATCTCACAGTATTGGTACCATTAATGTTCCCATTTGCATGAGGATAAAACAGAAGCTCAGAGAGTTTAAACAACTTGCCAAGGGTCCCACAGCAAATCAGGAAGCAGAGCTCTTTCCTTAAAAGCCAGCCTCCACCCCAGGTGGGACACTGAGGAATCCTACCTTTGCTTTGAAGGTAGAAGAGCTGTTTCACCCCCCTGGAGGGGGTGGTGGCAGAAAGGAGAGTGGCTCTACTATTTGTTGACCAGGAACTTTGCTCCAGGAGCTAGACTTCAGTCATTTATTAACATCAGCAGAGACCAAGAGAAATAGCCAGTGGCTAGCCCTGAGGAATGAGTCTGGGGGCTGGGGTGCTAGGGTTCTGGGGAGGGAAAGGGGAGTCCAGAAGCTCTGATGGGCTCCCATCTTTTCCCACCAGTCTCTAATCCTTCCTGCCAGTGGGTCTCGGTTCCCCCATCTGTTAAGTGAGCAGGGGAGAATTTTCTACAGGTAAGAAACAAGACTTGTCCAAGATCCCAGGGTGCATCTGAACTCCAGGCTAGCATCCTCACGTGCACTTCACTTTCCAGTAAACTCACAAAGCTTTCCTTCCCTTGACCTGTCTAATCCCTCTCACTCAGCTTCTTTATGTGTTCTGCAGTGATGTAAAAAACACTGTACCCGGGCTGGGGACGTAGCTCAGTGGTAGAGCATTTGCCTAGCATGCATAAGGCCCTGGGTTCCATCTCTAGTACTGAAATAAATTAAAATTTAAAAAAAAATACCAAAACCAAACACATCATTTTTTTTTTAAAAAATGTGGTTTGATTATTGTCTATCTCCCCACCAGAAGCAGAGATCAGGTCTGTTCTGCTGTAACCTGATTGTGTCTACAGTGCGTTCAAGAAAATGAATGAATGGAGGTGACGCGATCCTAAGACATAATTGCATAATGATGAAATCTAGAAGGTAAGAAAGTAAAGAAAAGATGGCCCTTGTCTTAGAATGTGAACTCGGGGCTCGGGGTGGTTTTTTATTCTCAATTCCAACAGTAGAAGTAGCACTTAAGAATCCAGGCTTAGGACAAAGCCAGGTTTTCTTTTTGTTTTTGGCACCATGTGTTTTGAACTTGGAACCTTGCGCTTGCTAGGCAGGTGCTCTACCCCTTGAGCCATGTCCCCAGCCCCTTTATTTGTTTTAGTTATTTTTCAGATGGGATCTTGTGGGTTTTTTGCAGGGACCAACCTCAGACCACATTCCTCCTACCTATGCTGCCTGCACAGGTGCGTTACTATTCTTGGCTTGTTGGTTGAGATGGGGGCCTTGCTAACTTTTTTGCCTGGGCTGGCCTCAAACCAAAATCCTCATGATCTCTCCTCCCAAGTAGCTGAGATTACAGCTGTGTGAAATCATGCCCAGCCAAATCCAGGTTCTAATCCCAGTTCAACTTCCTCTTTCTGGGCATCATTTTCCTCATCTGAAAAGGGGGGGCCTATAATTTCGACCTTTTAGAGAAAAGACCTAACAATGGCAGTGCAGCTGACGTCTCCATGTCTCCATTCTTGACTAGCTTCCTGGTGAACACACAGGTGTCACCCAAGCCTTCGCCTCAAGCTACTCCAACTTTACCTGTGCTGGTGGATATTGAACCCGGGGCCTCACACATGCTAGACAAGTGCTCTACCCCTGCCCCAGCCCTTAAAGCAGCACTTTTTTTTTTTGATGGTACTGAGGTTTGAACTCAGGACCTTGCACTTGCTATGCAAGCACTCTACCACTTGAGTCACACCACTAGCCTTTTTGTTCTGGTTGTTTTGAAGAAGGGGTCTCAAGAACTATTTACTTGTGTTCCCTCCAAACTTTATGCATTAGCAGTTTAACCCTCAATGCAGCAGTCTTGGGAGGGGAGGCCTAATTTGTAACTGTTTAGGTTGAGAGAAAGCCAGGTGGCTCAAGGCCACTGTGGCTTAGGGCTGTGGGAGGGACTCTCACTCTCTTCTGCTGTCTGGCCAGAAGACAGGGTGCTCCTCCCCATGGGAAGGCAATATGGAAGGCACTATGCTGGAAGCAGAGAAAGCAGCCTTAACCTAGAGGAACCGTGATCATGAACTTTCCAGCCTCCAGAATGGTGAAAGAATAAATTTGATTTTTATAAATTAAAAAAAAAAAAAAAAAAAGAACTATTTACTTGGCCTCGAAACTTGATCCTCCAGATCTCAGCCTCCCAAGAAGATAGGACTACAGGCACGAGTCATGGGTGCCCAGCTTAAAGCAGCATTTTATTGATGTCATTCCTTCGCTCAATGCCTACAAAACAAAGGCCAGATGCCTCTTCTTGGGATTTTTAGCTCCCTTTTAAATTTTGTGGCTTTGGAGCCAGGATTCCCTACCCCAAAGGTTCTCAGACAAACATCAGCAGACACTGACAGTGTCACATTACCTGGGAACTAGTTAGAAATTCTCAGCCTCCACCCCAGACCTCCTGCGCAGAAATTGGGGGTTGGCTTAGCATCTGAGTTTTGTTTTGTTTTAGTTTTTTTTTCAGACAGGTCTTACTATCTGAAAGCCCAGACTGCCCTTGAATTCACAATCCTCCTGCCTCCGCCTCCTGAGTGCTGGGATTGTAGGTGTGTACCACTAGACCTGGCTAATAACCACTGTTTATTGAGTACTTACTATATGCTAAAAGCCAATCCTCAAAACATATTTTTCTTTTTCTTCTTCTTCTTTTTTTTTTTTTTCACAGTACATTTTTAAAACACTGAGGCTCAGAGCTGTTCAAAGATGGTTAACCAACACCAAGAGGAGATTCCAATCCAGATCCATGAGATATCATCGCCTACCTCGTGCTCCCATCCCGGCAGCATTGCTACCCGCAAAGCTTAGAGCCCAGAAGGGCTACTGCTGGCCCCACAGTGGCCAGAAAGACAGGGGGCAGACAAGAAGGGATGTTTTCAGGTACCCAGTGTAGAACCAGGGCCTAAGAAACTGAAAGCAGTCTGTGAGGGATGTGGTTTGTGTTAACACAGGTACAATCACAGCAATCCTGGGGAATCACAGTGCCCACTGTACAGAGAAGAAAAGTGAGGTTCACACAGGGGTGATGACTCATCCAGGGTTACCACCAATGAAGTGGGGAGCAGCAGGCTATGACCAAGTCCCTGTCCTTTTCTGGATGTTTGCCACACAAATGATTCTACCACCAATGGGCTCTGTCCCTTCCCTACCTTCACCTTTCTTCATCTGGAAAACCTGGGTTCCTAATAGATGATTCCCTACCCCCCCCCTCACACCCCAGGCTCTTTCCGCCTGATATTATGTGCAGAAATTGCTTGAGGCAAAGGCCTGGGTAACACCTGTGGGTTCACCAGGTAGTAGGCACTTCATAAGCATGGAACCTTTATTTTTTGGGGCAGTACAGGGGTTTGAGCTCAGGGCCTCTGTGTTTGCTAGGCAGGTGCTCTACCACTTGAGCCACTCTGCCCACCCTTTTAACCTTTTGTGTGTGTTGGGTATTTTCAAGATAGGGTCTTAAGAACTATTTGCCCAGGCTGGCCTTGAACCAGTAACCTCCTGATCACTGCCTCTTGAGTAGCTGGGATTACAGAAGTGAGCCACCAGTGCCTGGCTTATTTTCTCACTTTTTACAGAAGAGGAACCTGGGACTTCAAGAGGTTGGGTGACATGTCCAAGGTCACCCTCCAAAAAAAGGCTGAGTTAGATTTGCTAGTGCAGCAGGAAAACTTCAAGCTCATTTCACTTTTCCCCCACCTCGGGTACTGGGGCTTGAACTCAGGGCTTACACCTTGAACCACTCCACCAGCCGTTTTTTTGTGATGGGTGTTTTTGAGATAGGGTCTCGAACTATTTGCCCAAGGTGGCTTCTAACCACGATTCTCCTGAATTCTAACTTTTAAGTCGCTAGGATTACAGGCGTGAGCCACCAGCGTCTGCCTGGCAAATGTTCTTTGTGCACCGGAGCCCTGTGGAGGCGATGGTGACAGAGGAAAGGCAGGGAAAACAGAAAAATGAGCTCCTGACCTAGTGAGAGAGACAGGGTAGGTCCTAGGTGCACAGGGTGATGGGCCTAGGAAGTACGGAGGAGGGAGGAGCCGCCCAGGACGTCAGGTGAGGCCAAGCCCTGCCTCAGCCCACGCGGAGCATGTGGCCCTGCCAGCCTCTCTCTCCCAGGAGGCCACCAGTTGTGGTGCAAAGTGCACGGGTACATGAGGAGATCTGGATCCCAGACCCAGTGCTGCCACTGCACAGCATGGAGAGTGACCTTCGGCAGCTCCCATCCTGTCTGAGGCCTCTGTTAACCCACCAGGAGGACGGTGCCGAGTCGGGAAGCAAAGTCCCTGGACAGACGTGGCCTTTGGGGATCCCCACAGCACCACGTCCTCATCTCTTCCCCCTAGAACTTCCTGAGGAAGGAGTGACCTCGCCCAGAAGCCCCCAGTGGGTGCGAAATGAGAGTCACAGGCAAAGGCCCAAGGAAGGGGCCTCTACTGCTGTCCTCTGCACCTCCCCCTCTCCAGGACCCAAGATCTGCCCTTTCTGTTCACATTCAGCCATCTCTTTCTAAGCCCAGACCCAGGTTCTCCCCCAGGACAAAGACCCTGATCAGAGGGGCGCTGGTGGTGCACGCCTGGAATCCCGGCACCCAGAAGGCTTGAGTGAAGTTCGAGGCTAACCTGGGCGCCATAGAGAGACCTCCCCCCCCCAAAAGATCGTGCCCACGCCTTTCTCTCTTCCCCCAATCTCTCCCATACATTCCCAGACCTAGATCCTGGCTCCAACCCTAACCCGTGGATTCCTGCCCCCTTCCCCGCAGCCCAGACCCCTGGCCCCGGTCTCGGCCGCGCCCGGTTCTCACCGCGCCGCAGCCGCAGCCGCGATGTCCCCGGCGCGGGGTCCAGGGCCCCCCAGCAGCCGCCGTGCGGTCGCAGAGATGCTGCACAGCCGCGGAGCCATGTTGGAGCCGAGCAGGTTGTGGAGGAAGGCCCCGCCCCCAAGCCCGGCGGCGGAGGCGGGGCGCGCTAGGCCACGCCCCCCGGCTCGCCACGCCCCTCTCCGCACGCAGGCAGGTGGGGTGTTGCACTCCCAGTGTCCCGTCCCCCCACTTTAACTCTACAGATCCTGATCCAGACCTCAGAGTGCCTGCAGCTGTCCCCCTGGCTCCCTCTGTCACCTTGAGCAAGCCTTTTTTCCACGCTGGCCATCACCTTGGTGAAAAATGAGAGTATCCAACAAGAACACCTGGGATTCATAGTCTGAGCCCCTGAAATTGCTTACAAAATTATGCACTGTGATGGGGATCGAATCCAGGGCCTTACACATGCTTAGCTAGCGCTCTATCACTGGGCTGCACCTCCAGCCCCCTCCCCTGCCCCGTGCATTTTCACTGTCCTCAGGCAGCATTTATCACACTAGCAACTGAGCAAACTGGCCAGGCGCTGGTGCTCACTCCTGTAATCCCAGCTACTCAGGAGGCAGAGATCAGGAGGATCGCGGTTTGAGACCAGCCTGGGCAAACAGTGCAAGAGACCCATCACAAAAATGGGCTGGTGTAGTGGCTCAAGTGGTAGAGCACCTGCCTTGCAAGCATGAGGCCCTGTGTTCAAACCCCAGTACTGCAAAATACAAAACAACAACAAAAAAACTCTTCTGAGTAAAGATTGCTTATGAAGTTTCAGGTGGAAACAAACACTGTATTTGGAAAGCTACAAGAGATCATTTATGCTACATTGTGGCAAAGAATTGGTCTACATTTTAGCCATGCCCTGAGGTTTTTTGGAGGGACTGTTTAAAATTGACAGACTAAGTAATCTGGTAGAGGAAGCTTCAAGGCAGACCAGTACTCAGGCTGTCACACGGGGATTGCTGGCTGCTTTTAGCCAGGTCTATGGTAAGAGCTGGGAGCAAGAGGCAGAACAGAAGCATCTGAAAAATTGCAGTTCAATCAGAAAAGAAGCATGGGTAAAGTTAGGGTCAAGGAAGGTGTGGTTGCTGAAGAGGTTAACTCCAGTAAAAAGAAGACAGGTACTGTGTTTGCCCTGGGACAATCAGAAAGATGCCTTGAGGACAACTCAGGAATTGGCAGGGCCTCACTCATCTCAGGCTCAAGATATAAAAGAGTGAACTCCTTTGAAAGACTTTGTGTGGAGAAGAGAGCTCCAGGGTGACCTGCTATAGTGCACAGAGCCACCAAGGAAAGTGTTTCCCCAGGCTCAGTCATCTGGGCAGTCAGACGTCATTACAGCTGTGTTCCAAGGGGACCCAGCTGCTGCTCTAGCTGGCGACAGATCTTGGTGTCATCCACATCACGCTGGTTTTGCATGAATGCAGAATGCAAGAGTTACGGGCTCATGGAGGCTTCCACCCAGATTTCAAAGGAAAGCCTGGGATGCCAGGTAAAGTGTAGCAGGGTCAGACTCCCTGCAGGCAGCTTTTGAGAGGGTGATGCATGAAGCAATGATAGTGGAGTCAAATATACAGTGGAGACCCCAGGAAGTTGGAAATGCCAGAAACACAGAATAACTGCCAAGGAAAACAGTAGGCAGCAAGCAAAGCCAGCCCAAGATAGAGGTCACAGGAGCTGCAACCAGCAAGTTCATAGGTAAGGGCTGCCCAAGCGCTGGTGCTCACACCCTGGCACCCATGCATCAGACACTGGTTATGGATTTAATGTTTGCCCCGCTGGGTTTCAGTCCTGCTTTGGATCCATCCCTCCTTTTGGTGGGACTGGGGTTTGAACTCAGGGCTTTGCTTGCAAGGCAGGGGCTCCACCACTGAGTCACACCTCCAGTCCATTTTGCCCTGGTTATTTTTGGAAATGGGATTTCTAGAACTGTTTGCCTGAGCTGTCCTTGAATCTCGGTCCTGATCTCAGCCTCCCAAGTAGCTAAGATTTAGAAGGCATGAGCCACTGGCACCCGACTTTAAAAAAAAAAATTGTTTTTAAATCAAAAGAAATTTCAAAACCAAAGTTTTAAGTTCCCACATGCATATTACACAGCTCAGTTGATGTGGAGTTCTCAGTTCTGAGTTATTGTTAGTTGTGTTTAAATCATTGCATGGTCTGCTGAGTGTTTCCCTACCCTTCATTTTGTGAAAATATGCCTCCCAAAAGCAATCAGTGTGCAAAAAGCAAAGTAAAAATGTGCTTTAAGTGATAAAATGAAAATTTTAGCCAGGTGCCTGTGGCTCATGCCTGTAATCTAAACTGCTCAGGAGACAGAGATCAGGAGGATTGAGGCTCAAAGCCAGCTCAGGCAAAATAGTTCATGAAACCCTATCTCAAAAAAACCTTTACAAAAAAGGGCTGGTGGAGTGGCTCAAGGTGTAGGCCCTGAGTTTAAACCCCAGTACTGAAAAAAAAGAGAAAATTTTAGGGCTGGAGGTGTGGCTCAAACAGTAGAGTACCTGCTCAGCGAGCTCAAGTCCTCAAGTTCAAACCCCAGTACCACCACCGATGAAAACCCAAAATGTTATTAGACTTTGTTGTAAGGTGGCTTGTCTTTAGCAGAAATTAGACAGTATTATGGGAAAAATGAATCAAGGATCCACAGGACAGTACTGAACTCTGATTCCTAAGCATTCAGAATTACTCTTTGTCATGGGTCTCCTGGGAACCATATACCTGCAAATACCAAGGATCTACTGTATTTAATTTGCTTTTTGATTTTACAGGGGCTCAAGGCTGAGTTTGCCTTGGGTCACAGGGCATGGAAAAAATGTAGAGTAGTTGTTGTTGTTGTTGCCACAATGTAGCACGCGCGGCCTGTAGGAATTACAGAGTCCTTGTTTCCATCTGAGACCTCGTGTGCCTATGAGCATTTTGGTCTTCTGAGCTCCTACCAGAATCATTCACTGAGCTCTGTTTACATCACTCTAGGGTTTCCCAAAACCTCCACAAACTGGATCCAAAGACTTCTCCACCACAGCGTCGAGAATAATCACCGCAACTTCTCCACTTATCTAGCACCAATTTTATTTTATTTTTTGTCAATATGATAAGTACCTCAGAAAAACAACTTAAAGGAGGAAGGATTCATTTTGGCTTATCATTTCAGCGGTTTCAGCCCATGGTTGCCTTACTCCATTGCTTGGACCTGTGGTGAGGCAGAATATCATGGCAGTAAGAGTACATGGTGGAGCTGGGCATGGTGGCTCATGCCTGTAATCCCAGCTATTCAGAAGGCAGAGAGCAGGAGGATTGCGGTTTGAGGCCAGCTCAGGCAAATAGTTTATAAGACCCTATCATGAAAATATCCAACACACACACACAAAGACTGGCAGGGTAGCTCAAGTGGTAGAGCGCCTGCCTAACAAGCATGAGGCCGTGAGTTGAAATTCCTGTACTGCAAAAAAAAAAAAAGACTAATGGTAGAGCAAAGACACATCATGGTGGCCAGGAAGCAGAGAGAATGATACAGAAAGGAGGCCAGGCCAAGATAAAGCCCCCCAGGACATGTCTTCAGTAACCTACTTCCACCTCCTAAAGTTTCAAGAACCTCCCAAAATAGCACCCCCAGATGGGGACTAAGGCTTTAACACAGGAACCTGTAGGGGACCTCCTGTAGTCAAACCATCATGTAACAGGTGCTTAAAAGCTGCTTTTGCTAGGGAGCACGGATTCCCTCCTTGGGGCCCACCAATTAACTAAAGACAGGAAGGTGACACCTCTTTTCCACAGAAATGAAAGGAACAGCCTGGTGTTGTGGCTCACGCCTGTAATCCTAGCTACTCAGGAGGCAGAGATCAGGAGGATCGTGATTTGAAGGGAAATAGTTCACGAGATCCTGTCTTGAAAATACCTAACACAAAAATTGCTGCTGGAGTGGTTCAAGGTGTAGGCCCTGAGTTCAAGCCCCAGTACCACAAATAAATAAATGAAACAGAAATGAAAGGAATAAATGGACAGTGGGGAAAAATGTAACTGAGACCACAAAAGGGAACAACTTTTGGTGTAGCAGGCTTGCGTGCTGGCCAGTTTACTATGCTTGTTAATCAAACTGACTTTTGTCCACAAGGTTAACACCCTGCACTCTTCAATTAAACCAGGTTGTCTTCTGCCTCTTTATCTCTCTCTGGCCACCAGAGAAGTACACCCGTCAGCCAGGATGTATACCTTGGGAAATGTGGCAGCAGGGCGCTTGGATCACAAAGGCCAGCACCTATTGTGGGACGTGAGTTCTTTCATGTACTTGAGGTGAGCCTCTTGAACTCCCCTCTGGCTCAAGGGTGGGTCATTCCTTCTGGGCCAGGTGGGAAGTAGTAGTAGTAGTGGCTTTAGTAAATGGCTAAAGGTGGATGTCTATTTTTCTTTAGGGCCGGGTGGAGAGTTCTCAGTAAGTCACCTTCGAGGGGAGGGAGAACAGTTTTAACATGGCTTCCTCTTGTTCACCCTAACACAGGGCCTTGTACACACTACCTGCTAGGTAATTGTCCTTCCAACTGAGCCACCTCCCCAACCCACACTGTCATCTCTGTACATTCTCTTGGGTAGGCCTACTCAAACCCAGCATTTGAGAGTTTGAAGCTGGTTGCTATAATTAGGTGGGTTTTTTTTTTTTTTTTTGGTCGTACTTGGGTTTGAACTCAGGACCTCACACTTGCTCAGTAGGCACTCTACTACATGAGCCACTCCACCAGCCCGTTTTTGTGTTGGGTATTTTTTGAGAGAGGATCTCTCAAACTATTTTCCTGAGCTGGTCTCGAACCAAGGTCCTCCTGATCTCTGCCTCCTGAGTGGCTAGGATGACAGGTGTGAGCCACTGGCAGCAGTTATACTTAGGTTTTGCACTAGGTCGAACTTATTGAGTTTGAACTTGGCTCCTCAAGTTGTCTTTGTGTGTGTGTGTGTGTGTGTGTGCGTGTGTGTGCGCAGAGCTGGGATGGAATCCAGGGTCTTGCACGTGCTAGGCAAGCACTCAACCACTGAGCTTCCCTGCCACCCTGTGGAGCTGTCTTTTACAAGCAGGCCTTCCTAAC